CCGGCCGCGACCGCGGCCAATGATTAACCAGCAACAATCCGGGGAAAGCCTCGGATGTGACAATCATTAACGAGCGGAGCGCACGTCAGGGGCTCTCCGTGTCAAGGCGCCGTTGAAGGTGGTACACGTGGTCTCCTGGTCAAGGTTAAAGTTCATTTCTCCCTTAACGGAGCCTTAGGCCGTTATCTCCTGTTTTACAGCCCTGAATCAGTGGTGGAAATTACACATTGCTATGGCGGGAGCGAGTCTATCCTGAGGACAACCCGCTGTTGACAGCCCCCACAAAGTCGCACTTGCTGTATCGACCCAGGAGGAACGATGGGCCGAGTCAACCCCACAACCAGAGTTGTAATTCGAAACCTTCGCATTGTCATCAGGTAAAGCGGAGTAGAGGTTACGCGACCAGTAGCCCACGGGCGTACCGACAGGCATACTGGACGTGGTGTGCCGGGTGCGAGGATATATATTTTCCCGAGTATCCGAACCGGACGGACCCCGGCTGAAATTAATCCCAAGCTGTTTGCGATTTAGATTGTGCACACCTGCATTTACCGAACCTGCAGGGTTAATTGCAAACTCGGACCCCACCACCCCCGCTCCCCCTGCCTGTGAGCCACCTGTTCTCGCAGAGCCTCATGGGAAGCTATCAACGTCATTAGCCATGCCCCGTCCCCTGCTGAATGAGGGCATCCTCGCGTTCGTCACCGCGCGCGGCCTCGCGATCCCTGCCGCGCGGCGAGCCGATCTGCCCGCTCCATCTCCGTGGCGGTCGTCACCCGGTCCGACTCCGTGCAGCTGGCGGCCCGTTCCGCAATCGGCTTCTACCATCGGTCATCAGCCTCAAAATGAGTACCTGGAGCGATGTGAAAATATCGCCACTCGGGAGACAAAGGCGGCCGGGCATTGTTCTGGCCGCCCACCCCTTCGTGGACCGAGTCGGCCTTCAAAGGTGCTACTCGCTAACAGCACTTGCCCCAACAGCCTGTGAAAGGCTATACGGGGGGGTCTTTATCTTTGTAGGGACACTGTGGACAGCTTCTCAGATCACCGACTCTGAAGAGGCGACCCGTGCAGCGGGACGCGTCGTTGTCATAGCCGGGTTGATGTTTTGTTCTGTCGTGGGGGACAGCAGTTGTGCAGGCAGCCCAGGGCCACCTCCACTGCTCTAATATTTACCTTGTAGGGGAGGGGGGTGCATTGGTTCCTCGCAGTGTTCCGTGTCCCCTGACTACGCACAGAGTTGGTCGCTGTCCGCTGCTTCCCTTAGAGCGAGTTGGGGTTGGCGCCTCTCATCTCTCTCTCATCCCTCTCTTATCTCTCTCATCTCTCTAATCTCTCTCTGTCTTATATCTCTCTTATCTCTCTCATCTCTCTCATCTCTATCTCTCTCATCTCTCTCATCTCTATCTCTCTCATCTCTTTCATCCCTCTCTTATCTCTCTCATCTCTCTAATCTCTCTCTGTCTTATCTCTCTTATATCTCTCATCTCTCTCTTATCTCTCTCTTATCTCTCTAATATCTCTCTCATCTCTCTTATCTCTTACCTCTCTCTTATCTCTTATATCTCTCTCTTATCTCTCTCATCTCTCTCATCTCATAGCTCTCTCTCATCTCTCTCTTATCTCTCTCATCTCTCTCTTATCTCTCATCTTTCTCTCATCTCATAGCTCTCTCTCATCTCTCTCTCTTATCTCTCTCATCTCTCACTCATCTTTCTCTCATCTCTCACTCATCTTTCTCTCATCTCTCTCTTATCTTTCTTTCATCTCTGTCTCTTATCTCTCTCTCTCTCGCGCTCCCTCTCCTTGCTCGTTCGCTCCACATGAGGCCGACGAGAGGTGACCGCACAATACATTGCGCAATGAAGGTGACCCCCAGTGAGAGCTCCGGAGGTCAGAGACGCTGACCTCTGCATTTGGCACCAACGGGGAAGGAACCTGCGTTCAGTTCCAGGCAGCTGCCCATCCCACTCCCACCCACCAACCCCAGGTGTGATTCAAGATGAAACTCGACTAATTCGTAAATAACCACAGTGTGCGTGTGTGCGCGGCCTTAAGACAAACCCGCTAAACAGTATGTATAATGGGCGACGTTTCGGGCAACGTAGACTACACAGGGGAAGCTTTGTGTTTGTGACTGTGGCCGTGAAGACCAACGCAGCGTGAGTGACATGCGGTTAAGTTTGGTTTCACTTTAGTTGGATTGGGCTCACAACGTGCTGTGCCAACCATTACGTCACACAGCCCTCTCCTCACGAACAGACACGTTTTCTACTCACTAAACCACAACATCCATTGCTTCTTCCTGCGTTAAATTATTCGCCGTTACGCCGCTCAACGTCACCAGAGATGCCCACATGCGCGGAGCCGGAGGCACGTGCTGCTGAGTGTTGAGGCGTAGCCGGGCGGTGGTGGGGAGGCTCCGTCGCACGTGACATCGGGTGGCGACGCCGCATGAAGCCTGGGGTGGCTCCGTTGCACGTGGCCTGGGGTGGCTACGCGGGAATGACAACTAAACACAAAAACCCCACTTCTGCGGTTGTCGCTGTTTGTTACTAACCAACTTCCATCGGGCGATTTCCAGCAGGGAGTTTCCGTGGTGGCCGCGAGGCAAGTGACAGGCGAACGATGAACGCCAGATTCAAACCGGAAGGAAGCGACCGACGCAAGGGATGTACAAACAAATGCAGAAATCATCACCGCGCTCCGACGGTCTGTGACCTTTTAAAATATAATAATCCATTGTGTTGGCAGGATTGGGAAAAAGTTAGCGGGACTTTGTAAAACGATCTTGTCGATCCGCTGCTGGATGAAGGCCTTCAGCAAGCCGACGCCAACCCCCTGACAGTGTCGCACACGCCTGCTGTCAACAATAACCATGGGGAAGGGGGTTCGCTTGATCATACTTAACCACGCTGGTCGCGTGCGGGCTGGTGAAGGGTGTGTGGTTGGTAGACCTCGACATCCGGCTCTTGAACATGTTGCCACGCGTAATTATAGTTCATCGCAGACACCACGGTAGTGTTTCCCGCAAGCAGCAAACAGATCTAATATATACACACACAAAGATACCCCCGTATAACCTTCACACTGTTCGTAGAAGTACTGTTTATCGAGCACCTATGAAGGCCGGCACGGTGGCACACGAGGGGGTGGGTTGCCAGCACTACGCCCCACCGCCTTTACCCAGTGGCGATGTTTACGCACCGCACCAGGTACGCAGTCGACCTAGGGGAAGCTCAGGACCGGTTCAGATAATCGTCAATGGTGTTAGCCATGAGCGGAAATCGAACTCAAGTCGCTTGGGTTCGTAGCGTAGCGCGCTTACCGCTACCAAGTCCCCGGTGCGGAAACATAGCCACTGGAGAGACAAAGGCGGCCAGGCGTGGTGCTGGCCACTCACCCCTTCGCGTGCCGTGTCGGCCTTCATAGGTGCTGCTACTCGCTAACAGCACTTGCCCCAACAGTCTGTCAAAGTCTTTGTATCCACACACAACAAAGAGGTGCAAAATGAAAACATAAAATGTGACGTTTATGCTAAAGATTTTAAATATTTTTTTATTGATAATAATTATCCAAGTCAGCAATTGTATTGCTTGACAGTGTAAAAGTTGGTTAGGAGGCGAGTTCAGGGTACATTATTCTGGTGTCTGTAACCAGGTAAGCGTTTAATAACCACACGGATACAGCACATCGACTTTTCTGGAAAGAGTACAAGTCGTGATAATTTTGTTTTATATATTTTATTGTTTCCCTTCAACGTGACTTTACCGAAAGAACCAAGAATATGAATAAGTAAATGAAGGTTAAACTTCGATCAATGTCAGTGCTTTTACACCAATACGATAAAAAGTTTTTTTCCCAATCTGCACAAGTAATTAAGGGACACGATCAATCGACATCAGGGCCACAGATGACAGTGGGGATGTTAGACCCCCCCCCCCCACAACGCCATCACCGCGTTGGTCACCATCGGGGTTGCTTGACCATACTTCACCACGCCGGTCACTTGCGTATCGGTGGTGGTTGTGAGCCCAGAAGCCGGTTTTGATATCGCTCACGGTCCGATTGTTACCCGTGTCTGGAACTGAACTCTAGTTGCTGGGCTCACTTGCATAGTGCGCCAACCACTGCACCACCACTCAACTATTTTTCCTTTACGCAAAAATAACGGCGCCGCGAGTACAGTAAATCTTAATTATTTAATAGACTTACATTTGGTCAATTAACGCATTTTGTCAACTACACTTTAAATTGCATAGATTTCCGCTTTTTTACATCAGAAATCTTCCTGCTGGCACATACATCGTGTGGCAAGGGAACTTCTCTGGAGCGAGGCTCCACCCAGTGTCCAATCCACAGAACTTCACCCGCAGTCTTCTTGGTATGCTGACCCTCTTTCGCAAGGTACGCAGCCAACCGTGCTCATTGGACGTGCGCGTGTACCCCCGACTGCACTGCTGGAATACGCCCATTCATGTTCCATGCCACAGACCCTTACCGAGGGAAAAACAGCCCGAAAACACAACCGATCATCACGTCATTTGTACACGATGAGGCTCGGGACAGAAATGGACGGTGCAGGCTCAAATCAAGAGTACGAGCATAACATCCATTTTCCCCGCCCTCCCCCCCGTATTTTAAAAGCAAAAGTTGCAGCGTGCGTTTTATAATCCGGTAGCTGTGTCGAGTGCCCACATTTATCCAAATTTATTGACATCGGGAGAAACATCTTGGGTGCGTTTCTGGCCTCTCCGGAGCGTCTTCCAATCTGCAGTGATACGCGCGTAAGGGGTCATCCATAAATGACGTCACGCGATTTTTGACCCCCCTCCCCCACTCGTCACACGGCGTCACAAAGTCAGACCCCCCTCAAATATGACGTCACAAAGCTCTGCCCCCCCCTCAAAAAGAAAACATGCTTCAGATCGCTTTAAACTATTGTCATTGTAGTGCGTATTTCATGTGGCGCTGCACTGTTGTAGGAGAAAACATTTATTAAAGTAGAACGTGTTGTCTATATTTAAAATTGCGCATTTTGATGTGACGTCACATTTCTCAACCCCCCCCCCCCAGGTGAGTTACGTCATTTATGAACGGCCACTAAAATGACTCCCGAAGCAGCAACACGTGACTGTGACCACTGGGCTCGACCCGCCTCCAAACCGTGCCTTGCACATTACGTGCCATCACCACAACTCTGTACGAAGCACAGCGCTTCGCAAATCGATGTGGCGTGGCAAAGCCGCCTCCCCTCCCCCACCCCCGGTGTGCCGCGGTACTGCAGAACCCCACGATTCGCACGCTCTCGGGACAAACTCTCCGTGCCGTTCAGTGGCCGATCAACCAGCTCTCACCGTCCCCTGCCCTTCTCCTGGGTTGCGGTGCAGTTCGCCAGCTTAAACGCATTCCCATCACCCGCCTACCCGGGGCCCACGTTGAGCGTTTTGGTCCGGTGTGGCCACGAAGATCGGGCGAGCTCGACAGGGAGTGCCGTTGAATTAAAGAGGCTGAAAAGCACCGCTATAGGCGGTGCCATTTAAGCGGCACCAGCGGCACCATTGGGGGGAAACCTGTACACTGGTTGCTCGGCATCCGTCAGTGCCGACTGATAAATTACAAATTATTGCAGATTACACTGTCCAAACAACAACACGTGGCATTATTATCTGAGCTAAACTGCCAAGAATAGTCTTAGGAAAAAGCATCAAAGTTACATACACATACAAACACGAGCGCTTCTCTAACGCTAAGAGCACTGGTTACGTGAACTTGGAAAAGCTGAAGCATTCGCACACTCACTGTGAAAAGTGCGACGAAGTCAGGGTCGTGCCAAAGTGTCCTCCATTTCTGCTCTCAAGCAGGGGCCATTGCCCAAAAAAAACATCAGTCTACCGAATATTGTTTTGTTGAAGTCTGGCGGTCGTCGCGAGCGACGTGGCGGGCTCGCTGCCCCGGGTATCTCTGGGGGTCGTTGCTGGTGCTGGTCTGCGGTTGCTTCGTCTCAAGCTGGACCGCAATTTTGCTCTCACTTGTTTCCCCTCACCCCACCCGCTCCCCGTTGTACGCTAATGTTACGTTTCATTTATGGAAAGCATCTTGAAATGTGATTGTGTTTAGACTCCACATGAACTAGACTGTTTTTTCGTGGTGGCCACGCTTATTCAAGCGGATTTTTTGTCGATTTCTTCCCCCGCGACATCGCGGTAGACCCCCCCCGCCTCTCTCGCTGGCGCCCCTACGGCTCCCCCTGGCGAATGCTCGCTAGGGAGGCCGGTCCGGCTCCTTAGACGCGTCAGGTCGACGGCGTCCCGTCGTGGAGGAGGAGCAGCACTTCCGCCTCGTTGGCCTCCTGCACCCGCAGGCAGAGCTCCTTGAGCTTGAGCGCGTTGAGGGACAGCACCACCTCCTCCACGCTGGGGGAAGAAGGGCGAGGGAGGGGACCGCGAGCGCTCCGTCGTCAGAATATTAATGCGTGTAAACTGTACGCGAATCAATGCTGAGATTAATCGATTTGACGTTTGAGTTGCGGGCTTTACGTATCGCTGTTGCTCAATCGATCCATCGTTGCATGCTAGGAGGCTCGGGGAGAAATAGGAAGGAGCACCCGAGGGGGCAGGTTAAGCAACGGAATTTCTGAGAGGGCTCAACCGGGACACATGGCCGTGAGCGGGCAGCCCCTCCTCCCCGTCAGCCTCGTCAATTCGTACATAGCCACCTCCACTCAACCGCTAGCCCTGGCCCAGCAAGTGGCCTCGCTCTTTCTTGCTTTTATCATCCCCACCGCCCGTAGGGCCCTGTGTACTCCCCATGCCCACTGCTCAGGTAGCCCAGCCCATCGTTGCCCTTATGAGTTGAGGCCAGAAAAAAAATATCCCGATTTTCGTAAAAACTTCATTCGGGGCAGCCTTTCCTAAACCACCGGGGGGGGGGGGAAACTGTCGTCCCAAACCCATTGCCCTTCCTCTACCCATCACAACGCACTACCGTCCAGCTCGGCTCCTGCCCGCCCGCCCGGACACCGCCCGCCCGCAAGCCATGTCGCGCTCACCACTCCTCCTCCTCCACGCAGGCCTGCGTGCCGTGCTTGACGTCGGCCAGGGCTCTGGCGGTGTCGGTCAGGCCGGGCAGGCGATCGCGCACAAACCCCGAAGCGTCGGCCGCGAGCGCGTTGGTCTCCGCCAACACCTCGCACAGCCGCTCTAATGAATGGGCAAAGACACACGGGCACGCACGCGCACACACACAGCAGCAGCGGTATAGGATTATAATAGCAATCGTAAACATGATTTAGAGCCTTTTTTCCAATCCACTGCTGGATGAGGGCCTCCACACACCGTGTCGGTCGCGTGGATTTTCTCCTTACTTCACCACGCCGGCTCAGGGTGGTGAAGGGGAGGGGGAGCATAAACGTTGCAGCATAGAGTATAACAACAAAGTCTGCTGCACTGCCATCTCCTGCCCACCACACAGCCACACAGCAGCCTATAACACCTGTTGTATGCGTGGTCACCCATCTGAGCACTATCCAGGCTCAAGCCTGCTTAGCTTCCGAGATCTGACGAGTTCGGGCACACTACGGGTGATTTTGTCATCACGAAAATGCACAGCGCCTGCCGCCAGGGCCTTTGAATGAATAGAGGTGACTGGCGAGTTTCTGTCAGCCGCTCCACTTTGTCAGGGCGCGTCACGTGGCCTTGGCTCGCCTGATAGAGCCTGCGTGTCCTGGTCGGGCACGTGGATGTTGTGCAGAGGCAGGCTGTGTCTCGTGGCCTCCAGCGCCTCGCCAAACGCCCCGTACGTCTCTTGGAATCTGCCCGGCAGCACCTCCAGCAGTGGAGACAGCGCCTGCGTCTGGGGGAAAATGTTTTTTTTTTACTTTAAACCACATTATAAGGAAGAAAAAATCATGAATCGTGGAGAGCATTCCAACACGCGTCGTTGTGTTAAATTTGCGCTGATGTCACGGCGAGGCGACGTCGCGCCTTGAACGACGTCGCGCCTTGAACGACGTCAATGACGTCACCGGACATCATCACGATGTCGTGTGACACCATCGCGTTGGCCGAAAGGGCTCCATCTATTTAGCACCGTTTCGTGTTTATAACTTTGGCTCTCTACAATACCCTTAAGCTTAACACATAACGCCAGCACACAAACACCACACGTACAAAGACAAATATCCCCTCCTGTAGCCTTAACAGGTTGTTGGGCCAAGTGCTGTTAGCGAGCACAAGGGGATGGTTGGGTAACACCACGCACCTTTATCTTCCAGTGCCGATGTTTACACACCCCAACAGGTACTGTACTCAGGTTTAAGGCGGAGTCGACCTAGGGGGGAGGCCCAGGAGCGGTTCAGATAAATCGTCACCAATGTTGACCGTGGGCGGGAATTCAACTCGGGTCACCAGGTGTGTAGCGCAACACCCTAACCACTACACGACCGCTCCCCTGCACATAACACATTATCACAACACAACAAGACACGTGACAACATAGTCATTGGGCAGCACTGGGGTGGCCGGGGCATCATGGGGGTCACCATCAGAGGTGGGGCGGAGGGCAGCACAGCGGGGGTGGGGATCACGGGGGGCAGCAGCAGAACGTCCACACACACACACACACGCACTTATTCTTGGTTCTTTCGGTAAAGTCACGTAGAAGGCAAACAATAAAATAATAAAAATATAAAACAATAAAATTCTCACGTTTCGACTGCAACACAAGCAATCATCATCAGGTGTGAAAACCACACGCACTTGTTGGGCGAGCTGCTTGTCGAGGGTCACGGCGTGCTCAAGCCTCTCACTTGGCTCCAGCTTTCCCTGCAGCTTCCGCGCCAGCCGCTCCTTCCTCTTGAAGCGGCCGCGCTGGCTCTCGCATGCCTCCTCCTCCACGTGACGCGCCTCGTCGTCGGCCTGGCCGCGCACAGGGCCAGCCGGCAGCGTGCAACGTCCGCCCAGCGGTTCATTAGCGGCGCGTTTCATCGCGTAACGCAAAATGCGATTGGTCGTTACATTCCCGATGTGGGGCGGGGTGGGTTGAGCCAGCCAGAAAGGGGCGGAGCTATGCTGCTGTAAGAGGCATGGCCAGATACTTTTGCCACACCTCATTGTGCAACTACTCGCTCAGATGTGGACAAAGCGGTTGAAGGTGACGATGAAGTTGTGGGCCCGGTTGAAGACATGAGTAGCACGTGGATGGTTCAAGCCCCGTCTTGCTGATACGACCCATGAAATTTGCCTCCGCATTCCACACCCTTTAACTTTGATCTGTGCTTAAGACACAGAGTACAAACTGAGTGAATGATTGATTTGATTTAAAACCATAAATGCCAAGTCTGTGTTCAATGAAGACCTGTGCCAAGGGTCTAAACAAACCACACAGCTAAACAGCCCGTGACCAAATCACCCGGAATGCACCTGGGTCTCGTCAGGTCTCACAAGCCAAGCAGTAGTTGAGCCTGGATAGTGGTTGGGGGTAAGTGACCGATGATACAAGTTGCGGGAGCAGAGCGGGCAAACGTAATCATTGTACTGTATCCTTGCGCTCGACGCCTTCATCAAGCAGCAGCGAACCAGCGCGGCGAAGTGTGGTCAAACAACCCCCCCACCCCACCCCCACGAACCCGTGTGGCATGGGGAGGCCATCATCGAGCAATGGATTGACAAGAGGCCTGGGTATGTGCACATATACGGCCAGAAGGGGCCTGGGTTTGTCTTCCAACTCTGTAACCTTTCTGTGTGGGAGTATGGGTTTACTCCCATTAAGCTAAAAAAAACACAATGTAGCTAGTAATTTAGCCAAAAATATCCAATGCCGGAGAAATTACCTGTAAATTACTCAATTTGGATCACACATAGTGGCAGTATCGACCCCTACTGCAAACACATGGCAGGACCCTCTTGAAAGTCTTGAGACTCTGAGACCTTCCTGGGTACACAAGCGTAGTAATAATAATTATAATTCTCAACATACTTTAAAAAAACGGTCCTAACAATGAGAAAAGGGATGAGGAATGGGTGTCCACGATAGAGGGTTGAGTAGGGGTTAGGGCAGGGGAGGGAATAAATATAGGGTTGGGGGGAGGGAAGAGAATGGGAAATGGAGAAGAGGTGAGCTTTAAGAGAGGAATGGAAGGAGTTTAAGGAAGGGGACCGTTTAATATGATAAAAATGCACATATACCCTCACACACGGAGGGAAGATAAAATGCGGTTACAATGCAGGACCGTACCTGCAAGTATGTGTACAGAGCCATTAGGTAGTCCGTGTGGAGCAGGCTCAAGTCATCGTCCATCCACGTGCGCTTCTGCGGCTGAGGCGGCTGGCATGACAGGATACCGGCGTCTGTATTCCGACGGCCGCTACGCGCCATCACCTGGCTCCCCTTCCGCTTGGGCTCGTCCAAAGCTGCCAATGAATGGCCGACGTGCAGATTAGTCGTAAATTTGACAGCTCCTTCCCCCCCCCAGCCCCCGATTTTATCACGATTGCCCCATCAGCGTCACGACGAGAGTTGAATAATCCATTGGGATCTCTCGCAAGGCAGTGCACAATCCTTCGTGACAGATGTCAAAGAGCTACCTCTGACATCCATTCTTCAAGTGACCTCTGGTTCACACCGTAGGGGGACAGATCTTTCCCACCTGCCCTGTTACAGAGAAAAGTTTGTGGCATGACGGTGAAACAAAAGTTAATTATTCTCAGAGCTGGAAACTACACAAATTAATAAAAAAACATCTTACGTGCCATGTTTTTGTGCGATCATTGGTGATGAGACCACCCACACTATACACGTGAGAAGCCGTTTTTTAATCGCGTGTGGCTGAACCCGAATTCGAATTCTGGATCTCAGGTGGTGCGGGCTCAGTCCTCCGAGCCCTGATCCACTTAGCCACATCTGGAAACACGAATCATGAAATATCAACTGGCTGATTTGCATCGTAATGGTGATGCAGCCGAAGTGGGACATCACTCATTCCCCCCCCTCTGCTACACACGTAAACTTCCTTCTCCCAGCCATCTGTACTGTCAACTCCCTGCCTATGTTCGGTGGCGGTAATGACGGTTGTAGGTGGTTGTGGGAGGTGATGATTGCAGTTATGGTGTAGGTGGTGGTGCCGGTGATAGCGATGGAGGCACTGACGCGAGATCTCACCGGGCAGCACCGACACATCCCAGGACGGCAGGAGCGACATATCGGGCTCCATCGCCAGCGTGGACTGCAGCTGCGAATGGGCGCACTCCGGGAGGGTCTCGGCCATTGCGAGCCTCCTGCAAACTTGATTCTGCACCGCCGAACCTGGCCGCGCAACCCCACCGGGAAAACGAAACACAAGACTAAGGGAAGTGCCCCATCTCTACAGCCGAGATATTCCACTGGCGGCGCACGTAGGATCAGATGTGGCCCACGAAGGTTTTTGGAGTGGCCCGATAAACTAATCAGAAATGCGGAGAAATATGCCGTACTGACAGAAAACACAATAATACACAACGCGGAACACATGCCTTACTAACACAAAAGATGCACAACGTGAAACATGCTGTACTACCACCATGGTAACTCAAGGTAGGGACGTGATCTCTAGCGTAGTGGCCTGAGCAACTTCCTGGGGGAGTGTGGGGCCAGTGCTCTATATTGGGGGGCCGCCATAACACATAAGGTTGTGAACCGTCCATCTTATCCGATACCACAATGGTCGTAACATTGACACCATCAACTTTCTGCACTATTGCCCGTCCTTTGCAATCTATCGGCTGTTACCTTCATTTGAGCGGTCGGCTATGTACGGTGTGAAAGTGCAACATACATATGTATTTTAAATAATTAATCTGCCTAGCGATCGTTACCAGGAACGGATCTCTTGCTGTGCGCAGGGGAGCCCTGCTTTACGGCGGATCCCATGGGCGGCCCAGGCTTGGCCCTTACAGCCAAACTAGGCCTGGGGTTGGAGCCCCGGCCTGCAGAGCCATGCTTGGCAAGCGACTTGTTGGCCAGCAACGCCTGCATGCACGCAGCCATCGTGCGTCACAGGACGAATCGACACAAAGCACACACACATAAGACACAGCTCTGGGGAATGTGCATCTCGTTTGAGGACTTAAAAATGTAGGACTTTATATTAAACAGCAAATTATTTTAGTATTTTCTGATGGAACGTGTCTTTGTGACAAATATTTATCTGCAACAGGACACGTTGGAGAGCATGTTTCCTTGCATGCGGATAAAACATGTCTCACGTGAAGTGATTTTGGAAGTTGAATCTTACATTGAAAATCATAAAATTAACTTGCATAGTGTTGAACAATTACTTACTTTATCCAAGTTGCCTCTCTCGGCTATATTTGCAGCAGACTGCTTGTATCGCGAAGGAACACTCCTGCCTTGTGCTAAGAGACAAGAATAAGAAATCACGATGAGAACCAACGCAGACAAGCAATTCTGCTTTTGTGAACGTGTGCACGTGTACGGCCCATATATCAATCCATTGCTGGACGAGGGCGTCCGCACACCATGTGGGTTGTGGGGGTCATTTGACCATACTTGGCCACGCTGGTCAGCAAGGGTTTGAGAATACGGGGAACACAGATGGGGGAGCATATAAGTAGAGTGCAACAGTGGATTTTGATGCAGTGCCCTCTGCCCCCCACGATGTAGCCCTGTAGCCACCTATGATAATCTGTTTGTGCATGGCGGACACAATCCGAGCACTGTCATGGGTCATCCCCGCTTAGCTTCCAAGATTGGGCGCATTCTGGGTGATTTGGTCATGGGTATCAATGTGCGTGTAGACCCAGAACCTTCACTAGAAGTCACGGAGCAACGCGAAAGGCTCAGAGACGGTGTGGTGCTACTTACAAGGCATGCTGGGCATCGAGGAAGTTCTCTTTTTGTTCGTGACTCTAAAAAATGAGCAAAACAAATTGACGCTTAATACACGTTAGGGCGTCCGCTGGACGAATGAATACTCGTGGCAAAGAGCCGGAGGCACCCCGGCATTTTCGCTTGACAAGCACGACGCTTCGATCACAGCAAGGCAATCAAGAGTCGTCATGTCAAGAGACGGCGTAGCCAGTCGGAACTTTTGCAGAGCAGTCCAAAGCTACGGGTTAAAAGAGCCAATGTAAGCGGATATCACAAAGCTACCTCCAAGATACCTTCGGGTGACCTCTGCTTGACACAGTAGGGGGCAGCACTTTCCCACACGCCCTGCATCACGTCGACTAGCCAGTACAAATATATAGCTGCAGAACCCGGTCCTAAGTCATGCATTGTTCAATGAGATGTATTGTTAATGTCATGTTCCCGTGCTATAGTGTGTGAATAATCTATATTTCTGCCCAATAAGCAGAATTGCTTACTTTGTGTTCGAAGAGTCAGATTTCTGCAGACCTGCACATCATAACAAACAAGGTTTTTTTTTTCAGTCATAAAAACACAGTTTCACGTTTAAAGATGATCTGCCTCTCGGTCAGATACTGAAGCACCGGACCAGGGGGATGCGATTTAAATTAAACCACTGCAAAGAGGCAAGCAGGCAGTGTGTGCCTCGTGGCATGATGGATCAAACTGGGATTTGGCTCTTTCCCAGAAAATGCATTTAAGGGCACTCACGATGCGAGGCAATGCAGCGCTTTCCGAGAAAAGCAATTCATTACAAACACCCGACCATTCTAACACGTTCCCTAAATGACGAGAAACTCATCAGACAGTACAAATCTAGCCGAGCATCATGACTTTCAAAAATCACATCACCCAGTGTGAAAGCCACAATTCAAGATGCCCCAGGATAATTGAAATGTGAAGACAATGAGACAGAAGGATATACACAAGGTTACCGTATACACCCGCCGTTCAGTTATTGATTCAGAATTTAGCAGATGGCTAGCGAGAGAAACTAACAACGGAGTGGCAGCCAAGGAGGAAACGCACCCAAGAATACGGTCGCCGCGGACGTGGAGCAAAAACATTATCTCGTGTACAGGCAACCAGATGAATTGTTACATCGTAGGATCGTGAGAGATGGCGATGGCTTGGGGAGGCCTTCATCCAGCAGTGGATTGAAACATAACCTTTCAGCCAGACAAAGTGGCGCATGCCTGTGATCGTGATCCAGGGTGACGATTTGGATCCCGTAAAATATTTGTTCAACTGGAAGAAGAGCAAGCGGGAAAAACCTCTCGATTACCAAGGAATCGGCCGAAAATCCCCATGTAGCAGGGACCCTCGTGCTTGTGTACCTGTGCTGGACTCCGATGAGGTTGCTCCACTTGAGTTGTCACTTTTACTCGAGTCTAGGTGGGGGGTGGGATAAAATAAAAAGTCTGACGCGCACCATCGCCACGCGACAGTCCAGCGACTTCACACGCGGCTTACTGCAAAGGGAGCAAAAAGCACGCAGTGCTTACAAGGGGTGAGGATGCAGTGTGCATCCTCACCCCTTGTAAGCGGGACCGCGTCCTGCTTACAAGGGGGGGGGGGGAGCACCCCTGAAACTTTTCATTGGAGGAAAATAAAAAAGGCAAATTACACTGCAAAACTGAAACAGTGTAACAAAGCAATGCTGACATGCGAGCAGATGCAGCATGTTGTCGGGCAGTCCCAGTTTTGTAGTTTTTCAGTGCAGCAACCGCTTTATTTGGATTAAATTGGTGAAAAGACAAAAAAAAGCAACCTAGACCTTGATCGGGCACATTTAGGATAATTTGATAATAATCGATTTGGTTTGGTATCCCGCGCCTTGTTTATAGCTCAAGGTTGTCACGAATGCGCTCTGTTTAACAGTCTGCGGGGAGTTTCACAGTAAGGGGCGATGTTAGCTTTGTGCAGTATACATTTTTTCAAATTTGGCCAATTTGGACCACGGCACCAGCGTATACGATAGAATTCTCCTTTCGACGTCAACAGATTGTGGACGTCCAGTGCGAAGCAGACGGCAAGCGATATTACACGGCCACTGATAACCTGCAGTCGTAACCAGGGTGGCCCGATGAATGAAGCACAGGCCTCTTTGACTAATGGCTAAAAACGCACTACCACTGGCGGCCATGAGTCAAGAGGCCGATTCGGATTTGGTCAGAGCCGCTCGACTCGTTTCTGGGAATTAAAAACGTGCGACTGTGCATGGCGATTCGTTTACCTTCCGCCGATGGGTTGGAGACGGGCATGACGCTTCTCCTTTGGGCCATTTGGTAACTGCAAGGTGGGTGGGTGACACGCAGTCAATTAGCTCAGAAAATAGACGTCACTCGGTTAACGTTTTTAATCCGTTACACGAAAACTACCGTTCACGGAAATAACTGTTAATCGACTTCATAATAAAGGTTTTTGGGTTAGATCGCGTTTATTTATAAATGTGTCGTAACCCTCCACCACCCGACACGGCCAATCAGCAAAGATAAGTGTCACGTTGACAAAAGACAAATAATTCACTACTTCAGCCCACCGGTGTGTTGAAGAGTTAATCCACATTTACAGTTTGAGTACGACGTTTCGCTGGTAAATACTTCCAGCATCATCGGGCAATTCGCCAGAATGGTAAAGCCCTCGCTTGCTCCCGGTTTTATATAGAGCAGAAGAGTGACGTCATCACTTAACTCATCAGGTGCAGTGATTAGAGGCGGAGGGGGGGGGGGTAATGTAATTATATAATCGATTAGTAATCAGTCATTGGTTATGATTAGTAATGAGTTGTAGATTAGTAATTCTTTAAATCAAAATGTAATGTGTATTATTTAATAATACGCTTCCAGGCCGCACTGAGCCGGTAGCTGTCAGAGCGATTAAAGTTATTCTTGTTCCTCTCAATTTCAATGGATTCTCTAATTAGTCTTTGCCAGTAATAATTAGTTTTACACACCACTGCAACATTGTCAAAATCAATTGAGTGTCCTTGTTGACAAGCATGTTCTGCCACTGCCGACAGTTGTGTTTGAGATAATTTAATATTTCTCTGATGTTCTTTTAGTCTTACGCTGATGTTACGTCCCGTCTGCCCAATGTAGCAGCTGCCACATGAACAATTAATCCGATATACACCTTCTGTTGATAGTTTAGGTAATGCGTCTTTAGTGCAAGATACTAGTTTTTGAATTTTGTGTACTGTACCAAATCTTACTGTAATGTTTTGCTTTTGCAAAACGCGGGCTAATTTGTCAGTTACTCCTGAGATATATGGAATTTTTATTGTTTTAACAATCTGGTCGCTTTCAGTAGTATTGCTTTGCGATCGTGATTTGGCATTCAGTGCTCTGTTAATTTGAGCATTATTGTAGCCATTCTGTCGTAGTGCGTCTTTAACGTGTTTAATCTCTCTCACTAGACTCTCACCATCTGACACTGTTTTCGCCCGATGCACGAGCGTCTTAATAAGAGAGGATTTTTGAGCTGGATGATGATGTGATTCTGCATTCAGATAGGCATCAGTGTGCGTTTGCTTTCTGTAAACGCTGTGTGTTATTTTACCGTTTAGGCCATGTCCAAGCAAAATATCTAGGAATGGGAGTGTATTATTCACCTCCATTTCCATGGTGAACTGGATGGCCGGGTTTTGTGCATTGAGATGATTTAGAAAATCATTAAGTGTATCTTTACCATGTGGCCAGACAACCAAAGTGTCATCCACATACCTAAACCAAAAGGATGGTTTTAATGTGCTCGAGGCAAGTGCTCTTATTTCAAAGTTTTCCATGTACAAATTTGCTATAGCAGGGGATAAAGGAGAACCCATTGCTGCTCCTTCCTTTTGTTTAAAGAAATCCCCTCTCCATAAGAAGTAAGTGTTATTTAAGCAATGGCCAGCAAGTTTCGGAATATCTTTTTGTAAACCGGTATTCTTTACTAGTGTATCAAGTAATTTAAGCGATTCGTCCACTGGAACCTTAGTGAATAGAGAAATCACATCAAAGCTTACCAGAATATCATCAGGAGTAAGTTTAATATCTTTAATCACATTCACAAGATGTTCTGAATTTTTTATGAATGAAGATGTCTTACCGATGTAGGGCTGTATTTGTTTGGTTATATATTTTGCTAATTGATATGTGGCAGAGCCAATTGTACTGACTATGGGTCGTAATGGGATGCCGATTTTATGAATCTTTGGTAGCCCATAGAGTCTAGGTGGTTTTGAGGCCCTTGGCTTAATTAGGTATTGCTCATTTTTAGGGATTAATGAATTTGCAATTATTGCAGTGGTCTTACGTTCTAAAGTATTAGTTGGATCTCGTTTAATTTTAATGTAGGTACTTTCCTCTAGTAAATTTCTAATTTTATTATCATAATCGGCTCGTGACATCAGTACAGTAGTGCGGCCTTTATCAGCTGCTAGGATTTGGATATCCTTATTTACACGCAGCTCTCTTAAGGCTTTTGCCTCGTTAGAGCTAATATTTACTTTTGGAACTTTGCTATTCTCAATTATTTTAGCAACCTCATGTCTAGTCATCTCTGCCTCATTATGTGGAAGGAGTCTAACTGCTGATTCTACCTCGGCAATTATCTCATCCACTGGAATTGTGCGTGGGGTAACGGCAAAGTTAAGGCCTTTAGAAAGGATAGAGACCATGTCACCGGTTAATACAGTGTTGGTCAAGTTCAGTACAGTTTTGTTTTTACGTTTTTGGTTTTCAGTAGGGATTTGTTTATTATGTAGTCTAGAAAATTTATTAATTTGGTTAGTTTTTGTTAGTTTAAACACATTATCAGCCGATTGTTGTGTTATGTTATCGATTATATTCCAATAATGCATAGATACACTATTGCTTATATCTAAGTGTAACTGCTTTAGCGATTTCGAAATGTAAGATAATTCACTCCGAAACTTGCTGGCCATTGCTTAAATAACACTTACTTCTTATGGAGAGGGGATTTCTTTAAACAAAAGGAAGGAGCAGCAATGGGTTCTCCTTTATCCCCTGCTATAGCAAATTTGTACATGGAAAACTTTGAAATAAGAGCACTTGCCTCGAGCACATTAAAACCATCCTTTTGGTTTAGGTATGTGGATGACACTTTGGTTGTCTGGCCACATGGTAAAGATACACTTAATGATTTTCTAAATCATCTCAATGCACAAAACCCGGCCATCCAGTTCACCATGGAAATGGAGGTGAATAATACACTCCCATTCCTAGATATTTTGCTTGGACATGGCCTAAACGGTAAAATAACACACAGCGTTTACAGAAAGCAAACGCACACTGATGCCTATCTGAATGCAGAATCATATCATCATCCAGCTCAAAAATCCTCTCTTATTAAGACGCTCGTGCATCGGGCGAAAACAGTGTCAGATGGTGAGAGTCTAGTGAGAGAGATTAAACACGTTAAAGACGCACTACGACAGAATGGCTACAATAATGCTCAAATTAACAGAGCACTGAATGCCAAATCACGATCGCAAAGCAATACTACTGAAAGCGACCAGATTGTTAAAACAATAAAAATTCCATATATCTCAGGAGTAACTGACAAATTAGCCCGCGTTTTGCAAAAGCAAAACATTACAGTAAGATTTGGTACAGTACACAAAATTCAAAAACTAGTATCTTGCACTAAAGACGCATTACCTAAACTATCAACAGAAGGTGTATATCGGATTAATTGTTCATGTGGCAGCTGCTACATTGGGCAGACGGGACGTAACATCAGCGTAAGACTAAAAGAACATCAGAGAAATATTAAATTATCTCAAACACAACTGTCGGCAGTGGCAGAACATGCTTGTCAACAAGGACACTCAATTGATTTTGACAATGTTGCAGTGGTGTGTAAAACTAATTATTACTGGCAAAGACTAATTAGAGAATCCATTGAAATTGAGAGGAACAAGAATAACTTTAATCGCTCTGACAGCTACCGGCTCAGTGCGGCCTGGAAGCGTATTATTAAATAATACACATTACATTTTGATTTAAAGAATTACTAATCTACAACTCATTACTAATCATAACCAATGACTGATTACTAATCGATTATATAATTACATTACCCCCCCCCCCTCCGCCTCTAATCACTGCACCTGATGAGTTAAGTGATGACGTCACTCTTCTGCTCTATATAAAACCGGGAGCAAGCGAGGGCTTTACCATTCTGGCGAATTGCCCGATGATGCTGGAAGTATTTACCAGCGAAACGTCGTACTCAAACTGTAAATGTGGATTAACTCTTCAACACACCGGTGGGCTGAAGTAGTGAATTATTTGTCTTTTGTCAACGTGACACTTATCTTTGCTGATTGGCCGTGTCGGGTGGTGGAGGGTTACGACACATTTATAAATAAACGCGATCTAACCCAAAAACCTTTATTATGAATAATATTGGTCGCGAAAGCCTACGTGTTAAACTGTTAATCGACTTATCTAAAAAGTTGAAAAATAAGCAAAAAAAATCACTGAGCCTGCACTATAGCTGTTTTCCCACTGCCGAAAACAGAAACTCATGTAAACAAAGCCAGTCGAACCGCTCATAAATGGGCGTCGCCGATTGGCTGAGGGCACAGCTCAGCCCCAACTTATGAGCGCTCGGATTGGCCGAAATTGGCGGACCACGTGCAAAACGTAAACACGGTACCGTGACATCACAATGTTAAGTCAAAACCATGGGGTCGCTATGGTAGGCGAAACGTTACACGAAAAACCGTGAACCGGTGTCACTGTTAACCGAGGGCCTAATGTAATGTGTAGCCCGTGTTTTCAATCCATTGCTGGATCAGACCCCCGCTCCCCAAACCCCTCGAAATGCTTGTCGCTGGGTATATTTGATAATTTACATCACCACAACGGCCAGTCCGGGTTGTGTGGACCACGGGAAGCGTAGACGTGGGAGCATAGTACAGTACAATGGATGTTGACGTACCCTCTATTGCCTCCACACACAACTTTGCCCGCTCTTGGCCATCACCAATGTCGCTGTCATCACTACGCCAATCTTCATCGCTTCCATCATCGTCGTCATCATCAGCCATGACCACACTCGGCACGCGTGAAGCAAGGTTAAAAAAATAATTTATTGTTAACGTATTTATCCAGCAAAGCCACACCGATACGTTGGGTTATATATAATTGTAAGACGTGTTAAGTCACGTAATTATGAGTGCTTATTATACAAGTGGGAGGAAACGGAACCCACGCGCGCGCGAGGGGGCAACACTCTATCCCCATACAAATGGAGACGGATGGCGACGACGAGGCCACTTGATGCACTGCCTCCTGGCGAGTCAGAGTTGTGGCCGATAATCCCCCTCATCTAGCAGTGGATTGAACAAGGGGGTTGCACGTGTGCGGGCATAAACCGCGCACTCCACCAGGACTCACCACCTCGTCCAGTGCCCTAGGTCACGAACCCGGCCCGATTCCCTCTCTCCTCTTCTATCCCCAGCACTCTCCCTTCTCCAAACTATCGCGCGTACTCCGCACTCTTTATTCTCATCGTCTCACCTCTTCTCTCCCCTCCTCACCTCGTCCCACCTCTCCCCTATCTTCTATCCCCTTCTCGTCTCTCTCCTCACCTCTTCTCTCTCCTCACCTCTTCTCTCCTCACCTCGTCTCTCTCTCCTCGTCTCTCTCTCCTCGTCTATCTCCTCACCTCGTCTCTCTCTCGCCTTCTACGCCACCATCGCCCGCGTACAAAAACGCCGCGCGGGCCGTGTGGGTTGGGAGCGGCAACTCCGGAAAGGCGGCGCGCGATTGGCCGAGGCGCGCTCACGTGACGCGAGTCGGTAGTCGGGGGGTGGCGATCGAGTTTTTGGCGGGAAACGCCGCGCGGTGCGCGTAGCGGCCTCTCGCGGCTGGCGAAAGTCGCCGCCACTCCTTAGTGTGGCGGGACAAAATCAAGCGGAGACGGCGAGCTCAGTCGTATCCACGCTTCTTGTTGTTTTTCTCTACCGTCGGTGGTGAGGTATGGTTAAAATTACCACAGCACCCCCAATCCCCTCACGGGGCCCTCATCCAGCAGTGGATTTACCGCGCAATGTTGAGCAGTCGGTGGATCGTAACTCGGCTAAAACATCGGAGAACAGCTCAACACATTCGCGAAATAACACCACCGTGTGGCCTTAAAAGGGAATTGTATATATTACAGGGTAAACGTTTCGGACAATGCCCCTTCCTCAGTGCTGTGTGCCGTCAGTGTAAATTGCGCACGGCCGGCCAACGCAAGCAGCGTCACCGAATATTCCGTTACAATATTAAACATTGTCATCATCACCCATCATCTGGGCAATCCCTTGCTGATGAGCCTAAGCGTTGACAAAACCAATGCAGCTTTACACGCACGGGGGGGGAGGCGAGTCTAAAGACGGAGCGGCAGCTACAGGAGGGAGGACGCCCGCAACAGCAGCAGAGGAGGAGGAGGCGCCCTCATCCAGCAGTGGATAGATCATGACCGGTTACGAGGACATAGCTACGCCTTGCGCGGTCGTGAGGGTTATTTGACCATACTTCACCACGCCGGTCAGTGCGCGTCCGTGGCTAAGGCAGGGAGCATCGAGGATGGGGCAACATAAGTACGGTACAACAGTCGCTGCACCGCCCTTGTCTCTCTCTACCAACACATTTACCTCGGCAGCAACAACAGCACATCCTGACGCTGATCCAGGCTGAACCCCCTGCTTAGGCTTTCCGACATCTGACGAGATGAAGGCGCATCGTGTGTGATCTGGCCACAGACACCCCGCAGTGCATACACTGTCCGTAATTCTGCATGACGACGTGGTGTTAATTAATCATCGGGGCTAATTACATAAGATGCAATCAGTCGACACGCGATGCAAGGAGTAAGTGACTAGTGGCTAGTCACACTCATCGCTCCGCCGACTCACTCTCTCGTCCTTTTTTGATCTCACGCAACATAAATGTTGGCCACTTCTCATTTGTCTTGTTGGTCGCCTCATCCCGCACCGCGCTCTGGCCAACTTGGTCGTCTGGGTCCTGGGCGTTGTGAAACAGATTCCCCGCCAGCCCATTCGGAGGTGACACTAAACGCCACCAAAACATTAACATCGGATTTACGACTGAATTTAGGACGTAATCATCATCGGAGGAGTTTGCGAATAACTCAAATGAATTGGTAAAAAAAAAAGATTCAAAGACGCATGCAGAATTCAGTATTTCAGTGATGGGATTTTTTTTGCCAGTATAAAACCCATTATTATATCCGTAATAAAAATAAGAATAGGTGTTACCCTTTCTGGAAATAAAACAGGTGTTAAGATGTTAATTTATTGACGACCCCGAGCATTATCAACAGTCCATTGTTATATTGTTTTCGTAACAATGCGATTGTCAATGTAATCGCTTCCCGTCCCCGGGGTCATTTTCTCACACGCAACCTTGATTCTGGACCCTCGAGGCGCGCGCAGTGTCTCCTCATCAGCAGTCCGGCTCCCCGGAATCAATGCAGCTGAAATGATGCACTTCCCAGAAGGTCGTGCGGTTTATGGGATCGTTTAAGACACTTTTACGCGTAATTGTTTTTACGTGTAGAGACGTATACGTGAAAGAGAGACGTACGTACGGTGCGAAAGAAGTTCCACGTACATACACTGCTTATTTATTTTGTCAACATCATCATAATGGGCCATGGTCAATCCACTGCTGGATGAATTAGGCCTCCCCAACTTCACAGCCATCGCTCACGATCTGTGATGTAATTGCACCAGACGGAAATTTTTGGTCAGATGCACCGCCAACCACTGCACCACACGCAATTAATGTTGATGCTGCTGCTGATGATGATGACAATGCTATTGTATTACCATCTACAATGGAGATGGCACTGCATCCTTCCCCTCCCCCCTCCACCACGAGTCACATGACCCGTAGCCAGGAGATGATAAGGATCACATGACGGAGGAGGGATGATTGCTATAAGTGGCTCCGGAATAATTCCTCCCCCTCTTGCTGCTGATGCTGTGTGACACCATTCGCAAAGGCTCTCTCGCTGCGTGCGTATTCTTGGCCGCTCTGAACCCCAACTATAGACTGTATCGATACAGTACCGCGAACACTGTTGCCGATATCTCTGCGCTGCTGCCCTTTTGAAAAGAACGTTCCGTCATGAGGATTCCGTGGGCGCTGCCTCTGGTGTGTTGCTTCCTCCACCTGGGTATGGCAATCGTTCCTCCCGCGTTCACGACGACTATGATGGTGATGCTGATTGTGATGATGGACTGGTGTTGGACCCTGACCGATTATTACCGGGCAGCTGTAATTGAGGCCTGCTGTGGGTAATCTGCGCGCGTGTAATTGTTGTATTTTTTATGTCGGCCTCGTATAATAATGTCTTTGATCATTCCACTGCTGGATGACGGCCTCCATCCCACGCCGTCACGGCGAGTCGGGGGGGGGGGACTTGTAAGCGGGGAACTGCAGAACCGATTCGGGTTACTCGTCAACTGATGTGAACCGTGGTCAAGAATCGAACCTAGGAAGCTGGGGTTACAGCGCAGCGCGTTAACCACAGTTCCACTTATTTACGGCAGTGGATTTCGCACTGTGCTAGGAACCAAGCCACCTGAGTTCGATTCCTGTGCACGGCTAACGTACGCGGCGAGTGATGCCTGAACCGCTCATTGAGCCGTGCACCCCCCCCCCCCCCCATTCAACCCAGGCAGACTAACGCGGGTGAAGTATGGCCAGGCAGCCTCCGTTGACTTATCGGAACGGCGTGACGAGGCCTGCCGCAATGGATTGACTTCAGGGATGTAAATTTAGTCCGGCTGATTTAATCACGCGTGTAGTCAATGTGTGTACACACGGGAGTATACAGATGCCCTATTTTAAACACCGTGTGAATTAATCACCGAGTCTCAAGGCTCCCCTTCTCACGAAGATCCTGCTACATTGGGATGTTTGGCCGATTTCCAATTTTTTTAAGTCAGTTTTTACTTCGCGTGGAAGGAAACTGGGAGTAACCCGGTGAAAATCCACCGCGCTCGGCAGGGAATAACGTCTAGAGCTCCGTACAGATGGATTAAATCCGTTTTCGGTGCACACCTCTCCTTGATCTACCAACCCTTTCATCCATAGCGCTAAACCGCAGGCGTAGATCGCCATCACGCCTGGCCCTGTGATCACGATTTAATACCGATTGTGATCATGATACAATGAATGATTGTGATGGTGATCTTATGACGAGCATTATTATAAGCAAGATCTGGAAGTGGGAGATAGGTGATGTCCTTGACGCCAAGAAAATTGCAGAGTGACATGTGCAACGATGTGAAACTTCCTGCCTCTAATTCAGCTACACGTGCAGCCCTCTTTTATAAATCCCCCGCTGGATGATAGCCTCCCCATGCTGGGTCGCGGAGGTATCTATACAACACTGATTCTCTATACAAGTTAATTGGTGTCTAATGAACAATTGAGTAATTTAGTCATTGGTGGTTATGCTTCCTATGGTAGATGTGGAGCAACATTAAATGTTTTGATGAGGTGGTCGAGCCAGATGATTGTGTCAAGAGTAGCGGAGTGGAGCATCCCTCGCAAGACCCTCTTCCACCCTGGTGACCAGGTCGAGACCAGCTCCCTAAACTTGAGAACCCAGTTGGGCGGCTGAAACCTTGGCTCAAACCCAGGTTCTCGGCTACATCAGGGTCCCATGATCCGCTCTGGTACCCCACAGGCTCGAGGAACTGAAACACCGGGGTGCGGGGAAGGTGAGACGGTGAGTCGACCAGGAGGGCCTTCCCTGGGGTCTAAATCCGTGTTGTCACTTCATCTATTTACAGCCGTGTTACAGGCGGTTGTGTGTGAGCGCCCATGCCAGAGTGTTTATGGAAATTAACTTTAATTGAATTTTTCTGGTTGGCAGCTGATGCTGACGTGTGGTTTTGTACACTTGGGTAATGCACCGGCAGCAGAAGACAATTTTTCCAGTCTCATTGCGAGAGCTATTAATAGTATATGGTGAACATGTACTGCCTTTGACAATCCACTGCTGGATGAGAGCCTCCCTGCACTCAATCCCTCAAAACCCCTGTCACTACCCCAACCCTCCTTAACAATCCCCGCCTGTTTTCCTGTTACCGTAACTATACCACTTTTTTTTTAATAATCCCACTATCTCAACCACTATCATCTTATGTCCAATTTTATAATTATTAGAAAAGCGCCTTTGAATAAGGTGCTTTATGAATCTAGATAAGATAGGAACTCCTGGCTCTGCTGATGTGCTCCAGAAGGGCGAAGCCGGTTTGGAGGTTGCGTTTTAAACCGACATTGCCGGTCAAACACAAGTCTGAATCCAGGTTGTTTAAACACAAGAAGCCACAAACTCTCAATCATGGAATTGGCCAAACGATCCCAATGCAGCAGGACCCTCATGGAAGAGGAAGACAAAAAAAAGTATTTTGAGACTGAAGCTGATATGGCTAAATCAAGGACATTATTATTGATTCCTGGGCCAGGTTGTATTTTTATCCGTCCTTCAAATCTGCAGGATGCAGTATTGCTGGGCAGGTGCTTCACATGAGCACTTGGCAAGGTTAAAGTTGCTGGTCAGTGGTTTTTACAAAGGTGATCGTTTCCTGTTTATTATTATTATCATTATCAAATGTTTCCCCACAGTTGTATCCGATTTTAGTGAGACGAAGAATCCATTCGGTTCTCTCACACATCATCTTCCGAGTCCCGCTGTTCTCTGTTCTGTGCTCCGTTGGGGATTTTGCCAGTAGGTGGTGACGGCCAGGTTAAGTTAACCCTAGACCGATGCCCTTAGCGTCCTTTAAATTTATTTTTTTATTTAAAAATTCCCTTCCTCCCCACCCCCCCCATATGTGAAACCCTCCGTGTTGGAGACCTACCCACAGAAGCGGATATCATAGAACTACCTCTGACTTATCTTGACTTGATCTCCGGTCCTTACACAGGAGGGCGGGTATCCCTTTCCCATCCTCTCTGCCACCAAGGTTAATGTTCGGTGCATGCCAGGTTAAACCTCGCTCGGAGCTGTAATTTTTCCAAATCAAGTGAAGAAAATAGTCTAGTGGTAACTGAGCTGAGACCAACTCGCCAAAGTTTATAAACCGGTTTAATCTTAGGCGGCTGAAGCTTGGATTTTTTAACCCAGAAATCTCGGCAGTGCCGTCTCGGCCGTCTGCCCACTTAGCCACCCAATTGCTCGGAGACCAGTGGTGGAAAATGCACACTTCTATATGGTGGGTGGGTCTATTTTCGATAAAATCGCTACCAACTTCCCTATCAACCACCAGGAGATGATGGGCCCGAGTTTAACTTCCTGGAATTTCAACTCTCAACCTTCTGATTTATGAGCCACTATGCCACTTTTGCCGAAGGTTAATAATAAACGTAATTCCTTCTACAAGGCTACTACTGTACCTTTTGATGTAACATCTCCTCCACGTTGGTGTCTTTTCTCATGGGAAGCCTACGAGAGCGTTTACCGGAGTGTGCTTTGGCTTCTGGATTGCCCCTTCCCCGTCCACCCACCCCCGGGTATTTGAGGTGGCATCGCCAAATGTGCGGTGTTGGTGGCAGAAGCTCATCGTGACATCTCCGCGCGTACCAGCCGAGGTGCCAAATGTAACGCCCGTCCCCTCTCCGCACTCTCCCATAGTGGGGACGCGCGGCCGCTGTTGGTCTCAGGGCGCCGCCGGTGAGGGAGAGGGGCTCTACAATGGGCAGGGGTCGCCACCACTCGCGGTCTTGGATGATAATCGTGGGTTTTTGATGAGGGGTGTGGACTTGATTGATGACGTTTCGATGAGGAAACCTTGTAAATCCATATGCTTAGTTCTTTCGGTAAAGTCACGTTGAAGGGAAACAACAAAATAATAATATATATAAAACAATAAAAATTCTCACGACGTTTCGACCATAACACAAACGGTCGTCTTCAGGTGTGTAAATCCAGTTATGTCTCTAAGAGAGCGAGTGGAATACTGTGCGGCACGTTTCCAAGTTGAAATTATTAATTATTATTATAGATGAACAAATCTAGACTTAACTACCACAACTCCTGTTCACCACTGTATGCAACTCCGGCTTTTGGACTCTGCACAGGGCTTCCCTTCACAATAAATAACGTCAACTTGCAATGCGCCGCCAACGCCACACAGTAGTCGCTCGCTCGCTCGCTCGCTCGATCGAGTCGTTCACGCTTCGAGAGAGGAGGCACGTACAGTCAACCCCAGTTTAAGTTTGTTTTAAATTCACGTTTGAGACAAGTGGGAAGGCGGCAGCAGTAGCAGCCAGGCAGTGAGCCGGCACCAAATTTCCCCCCCCCCCCGCCCCTCCTCCAAGCTCTGTAGTCCTCTAAGTCTTCTGGCTGTACAGTCCAATAACTACACCCATGCAACGAACAACACCCAACCCTGCAGTCGTCGTGCGGTGTACTAGAAGGGAGTTGGGGGAGGGGGGTAGGGAGGTGAAAGTGTGCGGGGGAGCTTTGGAGGAGGATTGATTGTGGTGGTGGGGAACGCATGTGCCGAGTGTCGGCAACTCCTTGCTGACGCTCGCTGTTCTTGTTTTGCGGTTGTGCGTGCGCTATTTGTTTCTGGTGTGTGCCCTTGCAGCGCGATCCTTCATCGTCCGAGACCCCGAGGATGGAAGCATCTGCATCATTGCCAACGTGTCAGCGACATTCCAGGTCCAGTACGAGCTCGAGGACGGCTCGATGGTAAACTGGACGCCTCCTCGCTTGCCCTCTCTCTCTACGTGTGCCCCATATCGATCCGCAACAGAACACAGAACGCCCTGACGCAGCGACACATCCCCCCCCCTCACCCCCTTGGCTGCATTGCGATTTTATTTCTCGGGAGCCACCTTTAGCAAATGCGCGAGAATTGACTTCGTTGCATCATTTGGCGATGCCACGCGTTGTTTGCACAACATCGGACGTGTCTCTCTGCTTGCTGAGGAAGCGCCTACCATGAAACGAAATTCGCTTTTTTGTCCCACGTGCTGGGAGTAGAGAACGGCGTGTGGATCGACGAGGAATATCGCAGCGATATTACGCGCTGCGCTGAACCTGGTAGCCCAAAAGTCGATTTCCTTCCACGGCTAACATCGGTGACGAGCAAATTATTTGAACCGGTCTTGGGCCTCGCACACCCCCGCTCTTTGCCAGCCCACACTGACCAACATGGTGGAGTATGATCAAACAATTCCTTTGACTGAAATGCTCTCTCATCCAGCAGCGTGTCGATAAAGGGCTGTTCACTACATATATTTTCAGGGCGCTTCATTTGAAATCTTCAAGGTGCCATGATGGTGAGATGTTAACTACCTCGCCTGGTATACAGGAGGTCGTGGGTTCAATCCCGAATATGACGCCTGCTATGTATTTGGAGCTTGCATGTTCTCTCTCTCCCCGTGGTCGCATGGATTTTTCTCCGGGCCCTCTGGGTTTTCCCTCCTTTAGAATCAACATGCGTTTAGGGTATTTGGCTGTTTATAAATTTCCATATGATAAGCCACTTCCTCGAGCTATCATTTGTGGCCAAGTCGCTTCTGAAAAAGAGCTCTATAGCTCAGTGGCTACATTCTGGGCAGTGCAGCAAAATTCACAGTACTGCATTATTTTACCACATCTATGCTGCCCACCTACCTTCACCAACCCGCACTGACCAGCCTGGTAAAGTATAGTTTAAACAATACCGACGGCCAATGCAGCATGCGAAGACATTCGCGCAGCAGAGGGATTTGTAAATCTGCTTGTGTGCCGGTGCTAGAATTGTCAAATCGCACAGCCACGAGAGGTGGCGATGGCTCGCAGGGAGGCCTTCATCCAGCAGTGGATGGGTCAGAGTTATGATGAATGAATGTTGTGGGTATACTCTCCAACACACCGGTGTGCTGAACTAGAAAATAATTGGCGCGTTTTGTTTTGCGTGACGAACCTTACTAATTGGCCGTGTCGGGTGGTGCCGTGTTTAACGACACATGCTTGCGCGATCTCACCCAAAAAAAACCTCTTATGGATGACGAAGTGTGCCTCAACGCCCCCCCCACCCGACCTCCGGCGGTGTCAACCTGTGCCCAGGGAATGGCGACCTTCGACCTCCCGCTGAACGCGTCCACGGTGGGCACCGAGTGCGGCGGTGGTGGCCGCGACGTGGACCTGATGCTGAGCTTCAGCAAGTGGCGGCACACGCTCTCCGTCGTCATGAACCACAACAGCATTTCCTTCCGCGGCGACGCGTGGCACTTCATGTACAACCTCGGCGACCCAGAAATCTTCCCCAGCGCCAGGGACAAAGGTGATTTCGATGCGCTGCCATCGGAAACGACGAGCAGGATGAGCGCCAATCTCGGCTTTCTACTTATCCGGTCTCTGGAAGAGCGTCCTATGGAGATTTCAAAAACGAGGAACGACGCTACACTCTTCCCCCAGAAGAGTGTCCCGCACCTCTGATTATCACGATTGGCTGCGTACGGTGCGAAATAAGTTTAACGTTTGTGCATGCATACACGTACGTACGTAACATTTCGCACGTGAAATGCTGCCCAGCTCCCATGCGCCTGAGCAAATCCCCCCCCCCCCCCGTGCCATGTGTTGCTCTCGCAGATATCAAGGTGGTCTTGTTCGAGAGCGACATCGCGGCTCCGCTCAACACGGCGTTCACTTGCTGGGCCAAGCAGTCGGCCACCTCCAAGCATGCCTCCGTCATGCTGTGGAACCTGCGCATACAGCCCTACGTGGTCGACGATGAAATTAGCAACGTGGGTGAGCGAGGGACCGCCTCCGTAGCGCTGTGCCTTCGCGAGGTGGTGGTGGTTGCTGCCCCCCCCCCCCCCCCCCCCCCGCTACGGTGGTTTCTCCCCTGCCCCCCATTTGGCTGCCTTTCCATTGTTGGTCTCTCCCACCGGACGTCATTGCTTCCAGTAAGCGGTGATGTCCTGCAAAAAAGTCCACTTTTTGTTACCTTCAACATCGATGTCACTTAATTTGTTTTTTTCGTTCATGTTCTTAACATTCAGTGTGGTGTCCTTAAACTCTCTAATCCATTTGGTGCTCTCTTTCTCTCTCGCGCGCTGTCTCCAAGCACGTGACTTCATATTTCTCGGGCACAATTTTGAGCTTTTAGCTTAATTTTTCTTGTAACTGTAAATGTCCGTTTTCCATTCCATCGTGCTAGGTGATGTGCACCAATTTTAAAATGTTATTCTGTTGGCGCGTTGCTACGTTATTTTCCACGATCGCGCTTCGCGTTCCGGAACAGCTCCTACTGACTCTGGTCTGCCAAATTTATATTGCCTTTTTTAATCCTTGTCAAAAATTTCCCCGAGATCCACACACTCCACCGCATTTTCCCAGTTCTGTTGCGCATGCGCAAGTATAAGCAGGGGCACAGTTTTCATCTCCATACATCGGCCTAAGGTACACTTTCTTTTTTTAGTGGAGACGCAGGTTTGAGTGCCCCTTGTATTTGCTTTTTGCCCGTGACGAGTTGGTGCCCGCGGATCGTTACGTCACCACAGGCTCGCAGTCTCAATTCGTCCGGACTTAAAATCCCACGAGACCCTTGATAAGAATAGGGCATTGCTGGGCCCACGGCCAGATCTACATGTTTTACCCCACCACTAACGCCCGACGGCTCGGTCGCCACGCTGGGCAGCGCTGTGTGATGGCTCCACAATGTGGAATGCCCACCAGCAATGTTCTCTCCCTTCCGAGGCGAGGGCCCTCGTCAAGCAGTGGATTCACAACAGGCCTGTGTACAATTCTGGTGTCCCCACTCTGAAGTGGTGGCTACCTGGGTGGTGGGCGGGGCTAGCGGTTGAGTGGGCGTGGCTGTGGGAAAGTGGGCGGGGCTGGCGGCTCTTGCACAGGAACGTGGCTGCCTCCAAAGCCTCCCAAAATCCGTGCGGCATCATGTCTCTTTTTGGCGCTCTGTGAGGCACATGCGGCACATTAGTGGTCCCCTGCTTTGAGGAATAATGGGTTGGAGGTTCTGGTGCCAGGGTTTATTTAGTGGGTGAGGGTGAAGGTATGGGTTTGGGGCAGGGCCAGTACACGGGCGATGGGGGAATCTTTACCCCGAATGTTCCCTTGGCCCATCCAAGCTCACTCCTGAGTGGTGAATTGTGGCCCACACGACAGCTCGACCACCCTCAACCCCATCCGAGATGGCTTGGGCCCAGGCCTTGCTGGAGTTTGGACGTGGGGGTATGGCGTTATGGGTTTATTCAATCTTTAGACGATTGCTATCTTTTGAGATGGTGGGTCCCCAAAAACCACGTTTCTTATCCTGCATCTGCTGGTAGTCGTCTCGTTTTCTACTTTTCCACATTTTTTTCCCTTTTCCTCCCCCTATCCTAACAAAAACCGGCGGCGTGAAATTGAGCGCAAACCAACGCGTTGCGGGAGATGCGACCCGGCCAGCGAACAATTGCGGCGGCTGTTTCTAGTGCTTGTGGGGGCTGCCTTTTTTTTACAAATTACCGCAGCCTTTGAAGGGCACAAACCCGCGAGTCAGCATCCAAAAGGCTCAGAGTACAAATAGCAGCGGCAGCAGCAGCCGCTGGGATCGGCTATAATTGGCGCTTTCACGTGCCTCGGCGCGCTGGGCGGCGGCTGTGAACGAAAGCATCTGTGCCCGAGAGTCTTTTTGAAAAAGACGCGTGAAGAAGAAGGTGCGTTGTGGTGGCACATGCTGGGTGGGTGGATGAATGAATGATTTTTGGGAGCGATTGCCTGGGGTGGCGGGGGTTGTAAGTGGAGTTTGGCTCCTGGTAGCCGTGCAGCCATTTTGACAGTTCAGGGGCCTACCCCACTTGCCGTGTGGGTTATTTGGTCAAGCTTTCCCATTGGTCGGTACGGTTGGCGAAACCAGGGAGCGGATAACACTGCAGTCCTTCATTTAATAATTTAATTCGGGTTGGGTAGTTCACAAACGGCTTATTTGTGCGATGGGTCCCTGGTTCCGGACAGAATTAGTTCATATGTGACTGACAAATTACTCATTCTGCGTCTCTCAAATTTAATGTTCTTTTTAAGGGGGTTTTTCTTGTCAAGGGTTAGGTGGGGGGGTCAAGCTATCGAGGCTTTGAGGTCCGAGTACCAAGCCGATATTGCTAGGATCCAGGGTTTGACTCCAGGTGTCAGCCGAATGGTGCCTGAAACTGGATTCTCAACCCAAAAAAAATCTTACAAATAACGAGAACCCAAATAAGCGCGTCATCGGTTCGTCTGCCCTCCCAGCGACTCACTGTAAGGGGGACTTTCCGCTCACGACCCCCTCGACTTCTACCACTGCGACCCCGAGCCCTGCGACCCCAAGCCCTGCAACCCCAAGTCCCGGCCCCGCGAACCCGAGCCCAAGCCCCACGGGCCCTCCGCCGGCCGTCCCCGTCGGCTCCTACAACATCAGCGTGGGCAACCACAGCTGCCTGCTGGCGCAGATGGCGCTGGAGGTGGTGCTGGTGTACAGCACGGTGCGCAATGAGGTGCGGCGCTGCTGGTGACACACAGTGCACTGGTGGGTTGGGAGGTCGTAGCGCAGAGCCAGCACCTCCTCATAGTCTGGGATTCAACTTTCCAAACAGATTACTCGGTGTAGTTTTCTTTTAACCATTTGGGAGCTCATGAGGCCAACAGTGGTTCTACTTTTGCAAACCGTAATCCTAAAAATGGGCACAACAACGAAGCAAATAGAAATGGGCGCAGAAACAACTGCGTTACGGAAGACACCCGGAATTGTGAAGTTGCTGGTCTCGGCTTGGTCAAGACCTATAAACTCGCAGCAGGACCCATGGGCACAAAGACCCAGAAATAATTGTGCTCAAACTGGGTTCTCAAGCGTGGTGAATTGATAGTCTCAATCAAGCCAGTCAATGAAATTGTTACGTCAACAATGGTGATGACCAAATGACCTCGCACGCATCCGCTCGACTCCGGGAAGGCCCTTATTCAGCAGCAGATTGACAAATGGGTCGTATATGTGGAGTACGAGGAATAACGCGATTCGCCAAAACTCCTCGCATTTGTTTGCGTTCGCGCGCGAGACGCGAACCTGGGTTTGTTGTGACCACTGATGGTGCGAATGTTGACTGCGACGCGACAGTCTTTGGTAAAGACTGCGAGGACCATGTTGAGGTTGCTGACAATGTTGATAAAGCGATTGGGGCCCCCCCCCTCCACCCGCCCATGCGCTCAGACGCGGCGCGGCGTTCTCCACGTGAACCCCAACGCGACGCGTGCCACGGGTTCATGCGGCGACGCCACGGCCAGCCTCTCGCTCTCCTTCAGCCAGGGCGCCGTGTTCCTCGGCTTCAGCGCGGTGAGCTTGGGTGGAGAAGGGTGATGGTCAGTAGGGAGGGGTGGTTGGGTGGGGTGGTCCTGGGGTGGTCCTGGGGAATCTGTGATGAGTGGTGGTGAGTTTCTGGATTTCGCTATTGGGTGACCATTTCTGCTTTGGCTGTAACATAGGGCCAATGCAACTTCTGTGAAGATGTTTCGGCATCCACAACACCTTTTTGGTAAAAAAAAAAAAATTAGATCGGGACTTGCCCTATAAAAACTGGTCACACCAATCATGGCGTTGCCCTAAATTTGGTGGTCCAAATAAAGCAAAGGAGATGACGTCATCTATACCTGTCAAACCCACGCTTTACCCTGTATTCTTGTACAAGGAAATTTAGTTTTTAGGTCCATGTGGCGTACAGCCGTTTCAATACGGGCAAAAAAATGTTTTGTGTCTATTTGTTTGTTTCTTCTTTGTGATGGGGCTTTGTAGGTGAACGTTGAGTTTTATCAGGGCACGGGGTTACAGTTTTAAGGTCTGAATTGGTCTGTAATAATGTAGGCACTGATAAGGGGTTGACAGGTATGCATCATCGCACACCACCATGCGTGTGATATTGCGTATCCCGTGGCGTCTTGTTTGCCTTGGAGCGTAACGTTACGATCGCTTCTTAAAATACTGTACTCTGGCAAACCCGCGATGTTAAAGCCTTGTGTAATCCATGCAGGTGGGTTTTTTTCCGGGCAATTAAGTAGATTTAATAGTTTCGGCATTTGGATTTGAATCGCTTTTAAATTTGCACGTCCGATGGTGGTGCTCCTCCCCCCCAACGTACGTTTAACCGAGGGGCGTTGCGACGCGCGGTGTACGGACGCTTTCGTCAAACTCTGGCTCCGTCCTTGTTTGCGTCGTGCGTGCTCGCAGAACAAATCCACGGACAAGTTCTACCTCACGTCGGTGAACGTGACGCTGCTTGACGCGTTCCCGGACGCACGTGAGTACACGGCACCCCTCGGTGGGTCGGGGCGCCATTGCTCACACTGGAGATGCCCGGTTGCCCCACCTCCAGTGTGGGGGAAGATGGCATTGCCTGCCTAATTGTGTGATTTTTTTTTTTACGGAAGTGGTTTTGGACGCTGTTCCGCGGTGTTCTACTGAAAAAAAATGAACCTGTTTGCTGAATTATTGTAGGAATCCCTACTGCAAGCCGGCCTAGTGGCCACAAAACATTCTGGTTGGGCCGGGGTGAAATGTCTCCTCTCCCCCCCCCCCCCGCGTGTCTCGAAGATTTTATTCGGGATTTTGCCCCAGGTGTTTTTGGTGCTTACTATCGGGGTTTGCCCCCCCCCGCCCCCCAACAGTCTGTTCGAGTCTGCACTTGTGCCAAGTGCGTGCATGCACAGACATTGTGTATGGACATTACAACGACATGGAATAATATGGGAATCATGCATGCAGAGGGTGTATGCTTTGTGTTCACTGAGAACAAGGAACACACTGATCGTGGAACAAACACACATACACACTGTAGACTTTGCTTCATGTGAAATGGGCTTGGGCAGGATGCATTGTGAGTACAAGGTACGATGGGCCAATAGACCCACACCTACTGGGTGACATCTGTGCAAAAAGAGCTTCATCACTCATCGGATTTCTCCCAGGATAAATAAAGATTCTGATAGACGAGACTGGTGCTGGAATGGCAGGCAAAATAGGCGAGCAACGGGCCCGAGACTTGGATACTCGCCGCAGGGCTCGAGCTCTGAAGCCAGCGCGCGTGTAAGGGGCGAGCGCTGGGTCGTGGCACCGTGGAGATCGTCGTCCAGCGATGGGAGTGAGCGTCACGGGCGGTGTTTCTGCGCACGTGGCAGCGTGGCTGGAGCTGGCGGGGCGCAACGGGAGTCTGGCGATGTTCGCGGCGCCGCTCGGCCGCTCCTACAGCTGTGCGAGCCAGCAGACGGTGGTGGTGACGCCCGCGCTGGAGCTGCTCGTCTCCCACCTGCACCTGCAGCCCTTCCACGTGACGAAGGGACGCTACGACATGGGTGAGCCTCCACTCACGTCTCCACCCCTCCATTCATCACCTGCGTCTCGTCCCTGTTGTTCCTCTCCCCTTGCCTCCCTGTGTCTCGTCTCTGCTGCGTGCCTACCTGTGTCTCTGCCCCCCCCCCCAACTCCTGTTTCCCCTGAACTTGCCTCTCCCTCCTGCACCTCTCCCTGCAGCCCATGCCCATAACTGATCATCATGCCACGGGTGAGCGTCTGCCCTGCACCTTCCATGCACAAAACTGCACTCGCTGGCCCTGCAGGAAGTTTTTCATTCCTTGCACCGGGCCAATGCCGACCGCACTGCGCCACTGGCTGGCCGCTTGCTTTTGCGAGTCGGGGCGCATGAGAATGCGGCGATGCAGTAGCGCCCTCTAGTGGTGTAACGGCTGATAAGCCACTTCGTTGAGGTATATCATTTGTGACCAGGTCGCTTTCTCAAAGAGAAGCTAATAAGGTCACTCGGTGGGCTTTACCTGGTAAAGTAAAATATTTTAGCTTTATTTGTATATGTTTTTTAAAGTTATTTGTTTACCTTTCCTATACTTTGCACTCATATCGTGTTTTTGTATTTGTTGTAAGATTCTTCCAGTATAAATATTCCGATTTTGGCTCTGAGAACCACTGTGGGGAGAAGTCAGCAGTTGTCCTAATGGGTCAACTTGCCCCCGCGATAACAACGTGGAATTTCCACCGCTGGCTCCACAGGGCTGTAAATACGCGATGAGCGGCAATACCCTCCCCCCAAGGCTCATCCGATGGAGCAGGAAAGCATCACTTTGTGACTGCCTCTTTGTCTTGCGGTTGACGGTGCGTCTGTGTGGGGGGCCATGCACGCACGCGCGTGCGCGCATGTGTGTGCGCGCGTGTGCATGCGTGCGTACAGCCGTGGAGTGCCCCCAGGATGCCAAGCAGTGGATCATTCCCATCGTGATGGGAGCTGCGCTCGCCTGCCTGGCCCTCGTTGTGCTCACCGCGTACCTCTATGGCCAACACAAGCGGCAGTCGGCCTACGCGAGACTTTGATTCGCGGCTACCTCCGCTCAAAGATCGGTATCGTCCACCCTTGATAGCCCACGGGGTCAGAGCAGATATTGGTACCACCCAAGTAAAAATAGCGTAACTTCAGTCGTAACAATGTCTTTACACGACCAACACACGAGTGCCATATCTGATGACCCCATTCATTTCAAACGGTTGGCAAGTTTTTCACTATTGTTGGCCACATTTAAGAGATTGGAACCGCTATAGTGATGCCACCTCCTGATACTGACGAGCACGATATCTGATCTGACCTAATGGATTGTGAAGAATTGAATACCTGTGTACATTTGACAAAAAAAATTCCGCTAGACATTGCCAAACATTTTCCGTTCTTCAATTCCACGCAGCCTTGACAACATTTATATGGGACCCTCCTCCAAAGACTCTTGGAAATCCTTTAGAGGTTCTGAATTTGTTTTTCTTATACCTGACATGAGCAGCAGAGGTTGTTATTTATGATGCGTGCAAGCCCTTCTGTACTGCTTCGGTTTGTGAATGTTGTTCTTGTGACAGTCAAGCCAACGGGACTGCGGCTGATGGCTTGCAATTAAAACTTCACGTCTTCCTTGCCCTCCAATCTAGCGTGCCCAGCACTGTTACCGCTTTGCCAGCGGTGAATTAAAACGGCCGCCCCTTTTTCAGCGCCAATGACAAATCTCATTTGAACCAAGTGCCTCAAGGTCCCCTGGGGTAGGGGGTTCCCTCGTTATGCGGGTTCGGTTTGTGTGATCTCACGTATATGTGGCGAACCTATTTCTACCAAATATTTGCAATACTATATGGTTTGACTTTGCACGGTTGCGGTTGGACATGGGACAATGGTGTACTGCGTGCTGTACCACGTGAGGTACTCGGCAGGCAGCCGTCTCCTCCTGCGGTGACGCTTTGTGTGCTCCCCCCCCTCCTTTTTTTTGGAACTCCTCGACCACATAAATCAAGGGAAACCTGTCATTTGAAACCGAACCACATTGCAGACCTCAAAAGACATCTCTGATCATTGTTGGCAAATTCATGTAAGCATTGCTTCCCAACCGCTTGGCAACTGAGGTTTTCAACGTTGCTCGGTAATGACTATAACGACGCGATTGATGTCGTGTCCTGAATTGCATCTCATCTCAACACCATTTGTATGTACTATATGTTGAACTTATTTAGCACCGCACGTGGTCAACCATGCTAATCAGAAGTGCGGGGGAAGGATGAACGAGCTAATTACAACAAGCAGTTCTAAAGGAATGAGGGTGGGCGCACAGCGCCTGACTCTTCCCTCCTTCCGTTCAGGCCGAGCCACAGGGCGACTAAACTCTTCCATTTCTCGTCCGTTAACGATCCTCCCCAACCCATGGTGTGATGGCTTAACCCAAGTTGATAACACCGCTACCAGGACTGGCGGCCCCTCGCGTGTCCCCCCCCCCTCATCCAATCTTTACATCCATTCCTGGGAACGCAAATATTATACTTTGACTGTTTATGTGGCCGGCCACTGGACGGCCCTGTTTTGCTCTGGGGGTTGTTTTTAAGGTGGGGGGGGGGGGGGGTGCCTCCTGCCCCTCCGGCCTTCCCCTCCGGCCTTCCCCTACACCACCATGAGGTCCTCCCGTGGCTGTACTCCCTGCTCTTGGTGACGTGTGACGACAATTATGAGAAAAATAAAATAATGAAAAACATTACGTTTTATCGAAAGTGCTTCATGTATCATGATTTTCCTTTTCTTCCAGGCCTGATCCTCTGCCCTAGGTAGTTGCAATAATAATATGACACCATAAAGTCTAGATGTCCTCTTTGTGACTTTTTACCATTTGGTCCTCCCACCATGCTTTGCATGTCACGTGGACATCACCAGTTACAACGATGCTCGATGGCTGTGCAGTCTAAAACAAGATGGGCACAATTTTTACTTTCTTTAGATTGCTTCAAATAATTGTTAGCCCAACAGACCATACCCACATATCTCACTTGTCGGTACCACCTGTAGGTGGCATCACTTTCCGCCAGTTCAAATTTCACCGCTATGCCCAAAAGCAGTGAATTATGTGAACCACTTGAAATATAGGTGAGGTTATAAATTAAATTCACCCTTGGCCATATAAAATACATCTCTACGACCTCAAGTTCCACCTACGTGCGTTGTACAAATTATATATTTTTTGCTCTGGCTCTTGGATTATATCGCAGTGGTGTACATATGTCATGTGGCGTGCAAGGGGATGATGGGAGAAACGATGCTCTGGTTACAATCTCACGTTTTTACTGTGGCAAAATCTCCTTGGTCCTGTCGTTTACTTTTCAGCGGAACACCTCTCTCGCCACCACCTTACACGAACTGAACTTTGCCTTTTACCTTCTGTGATATGTGTGTACTAACACCTTTTCAGGAACTGATCCTTGCTCTGGACTTTGCCATGCCTTTCGTTTTTGGTGTTGAGCCACGTTCCTTTTATTAACTCTCGCCAATTTCTCTTTCGGTGTAAACATTTTTTTGCCTTTACATCTTTCTCCTTTTGCTTTGCCTTTCGTTTCCCATCTTGCTCCCATCTGCTCCCAACCCGCCGACGCATTTCCACTCGCAATCAAAACCACGTGGCACCGACCCACGCACGCGTGCCAACCCTGGTCGCTCGCAACCACGATGCGCCACACATGGACCCACAAAAACACGACCTACACTCGCACAAACACCTTGCCATCCCCTCCATCCCCCGACCCGTGCTGCCCACCCCAAGCCGTGAGCTGCCCCCAGGACTCTCTGCTGGGCTTCGTGCTGCCCCTCGTGGTTGGCGCCGGGCTGATAGTCCTCGTCTTCATCTCCGTGCTCGCGTACGGCATCGGCCGGAAGAAGAGCCGCACCACCTACGATGAGATCTGAGGCTGCTCGGCGATTTCGGCGGGGACAAAGACGTGTTCTGGTAGTTGTTTTTTGGGTCCCTGCCGATTTTTGCTGCCGCACAGTCCTAGCAAGGGAGTCGTTACCAACTCGATGACTGACCCTACGGTGTGTTTACGTGGTTGTGCTGTATAATCTCTGCACGTGTTTCGGGTTGCACCGTGCGGTGTTCCGCATATCTGACGTTTCGCTCCCCCGCCCCTCCTGCGCGGTGGGCGCTTAAATTATTTTAAAAATTCCGAGGAAGCTGTCTCAGTCCGGTGGAACATAATTTCGGCCATCGTGCCAAGCCACACGCGGTGCGACCCACAAAGGCCCGGAGGAGGATTATTTTGCACGCTTCTGTAAAGTCCGAAAAGGAGCCGTCGTCAGGTTGATGGGCACGATGCCTCCGTGCGTGCGCTGCCTTGTCGACGTTTCTGCTTCACGGCACTGGCATAGCTATTGAGAGGTGCAGGCGGTGCAACTGCACTGGGACCCACTGGCTGGGCTATGACCAGGGGAGGGGGCGGGGATTGGACTGCCCCCCCCCCCTCATTTCAGTCTTCACTTAAACATTTTGTCAGAGGTCATCTTCTTGTTTGACTTTGTTCCAAAAAAAACGCAAAAACGTTCCGTCGCTCGCGTGAAACGCGGTGCCACCAAAGCGTGGTTATTTACCCCGCTGCGATGCAGGTGGGGGTAGCCGTAAATGTGCACATTTCTCTCGTGCTATCTCGCTCTCTGCGCGCACAGCGCTTCGTTATTTTCAGCGCCGGTTTTGTTCCCCGTCGTGCGAAGTGAATGGGTTTTCTCGGAGCGCTGGCTTTGCTCTCGCCAAGCCACGGAAATTATGACCCGCTGGCTGCATTAACATTGCGGCTCGCGGTGAAGCGCTTTCAGAACCAGTTAATTGGGTGAATTATTTAACGTGAGCTAAAAGTAAGCCGTTTGTTCCGCAATAAATAGCGGCGGTGCAAATGCACCACCCGACGAAGGCTGCTATAATGAGCCCCATTGCTGTATAATAATCACCTGCTTGCACTCCAGCCGTCATTATACCGTTTGCATTCAGTGCTATTAGCGAAAGGTGGTGATTTGCCCCCCCATATGTATTTTATTGAAAGGGAGCTTGGGCATAAATGGTGGTGGTTGGTGGTGACTGCCCTGTTTTACGTGGAAAAGCACAGCGCGTCGACCCCCAGGTTGGGAGCAGCGATTTGCCTTCGTGTAAATGACGCTTTGCGAGATTTAATTGTTTCCAATTCCATGTACACAACCGGTATTTATATAATATATACAACACCAGGAGGTTTGCCTCGCTCTCGCAATCGTCACTTCCATTTGAATGAGCTCATGAATCGCGTGTGTGTAAATAAAGGACATTGCGAATTTGGTGGTGCCTTTTTGTGAGCCCGATTCTATCGACTCCAATAATTATTTTTTTAAATGTTCAATTCAATGCAGATGGACCAGTTTAAATCGATTTGCAAGGATCGATGCATTTGGGGATTGTGGTTCTTTATGGTAGTTTGGGGCAGGCCTTCACCCAGCAGTGGACTAACCATGGCTGATGATGATGTGAAGAAGCTCTACAGATAATTTATTTGGTCAAGTTTTTTTATTGGTAGGAAAGTGAATATATATGAAATTGAAAAACAGTGGTGAAATAAAGTAGCTAAAAATATAGCAACATTCATGGGTGAGAAGACGGAGGGGGGGGGGAAATGCACGCCGGGCAACTTACTGCATGAACCCACCTGAACACGTGCACACATTCCCTACTTTAGCAATCTCCTGGAGAGGCAGCTTGTAACAGAACCGTTGAAAAGGCAGTGCGAGTGGCTATGAGGCACAACTATTAATGAACCCCTTTTATTTTAAATACACTGCCAAGAAGTAAAACGTCGAAACCACATTCGCGGGGATGAATTTCGGGACTTGGAAATTTCGGAAGATTTTAAAGTTTAATGGATCTTGTTTTTGGATTTCTTCGTGAACTTCCACAGCGTGGTAATGCATCTTTGTGTTCACAACAGCGACGCCTGATAACGCAGAAGTGATATGGTATGTGACGTCATTCCCGGTGACATCACAATTTCATCTTCTTGGTTCTTTCGGTAAAGTCACGTAGAATGAGAATAAAACAAAATAAGACAATAAATTATCACGACGTTTCGGCCACAACACAAGTAGCCTTCTTCAGGTGAAAGAACAGAACTGTCGGAACAGCGCTTCAATGTTATTGTCTTATTTTGTTTTATTCTCATTCTACGTGACTTTACGAAAGAACCAAGAAGATGAATCCTTGCAGTCACGAAAGCTTTAAAAAGTCACAATTTCAGTTTAGCCGGAAACTTTTTTTCTATAGAGGTTTTTTGGTTTAGATCGCGCAAATATAAAAATGTGTCGTTTAAACCCACCACCACCTCAGTCAACTGGTAAGGGTTGTCACGTAAACAGAACATGCCAATTCGTCAGGCTGTCGCCTGATGACTAGCTTCATCAGGCGACAGCCTGATGAAGCTAGTTGTAATTTACTAGCAAAACGTCGTACTCAGATTGTAAATGCTGTGGCTTGGCTCTCCAACACACCGGTGTGCTGTACTAGTGACGAATTGGCATGTTCTGTTTACGTGACAACCCTTACTAGTTGGCTGTGTCGGGTGGTCGTGGGCTTTAACAACGCATTTATATATTGACGCGATCTAACTCCAAAAAAAAACATTTATGGATATTGGTCGCGAAAGCCTACGTGCTAAACTGATTTTTTTTATTTGGTTCATCCGAAATTTCATACATCTCTGCCCGATCTTTGGGATTTTCCCGAATTCATCCTAAAATGGGGAACAGCTCCCTACCGCGTTACGTGAATAGCACCAAAATATTACAATGTCATGGGAGCGGGAGTTCGTCGTAGGAGAAAGGATTGCGCGCGCACACACACGAGTGTTTGAGACCGGGGCGCTACGCGCAAGACGTGACTCTGCACAGAGGTGGGAGCGCTCGCCGCCACCCAAATGCACAGCACCCACCAAGGGCCCCCCCCCCCCAAGTTGAAGCGACGAAATGTGACCGTGTCAAGTACGGAACGATTGTATTTGTTTCGGTTACGATTGCAAAGCTCGTGGATAAGTGAGGTTAGTTGCACTCAAACTTGTGAACCTTATGACTTTTTAGTCGGTTAATAAAAAAACATCTAAACTACACTAAAATCTACGTGACCACTTGGGGCGGAATGACGATGCATCGATTGATTCGTAAGTTCACGATGCCCACGTGGAGCTGCGTATGCAAGCAATGACGTTTGTTCATTGCCTTATGCAGTAACAAGTATACGATACCCCTGCAGCCAATATAAACACAAAGACAAAGATTCCCCGAGTAGCCATAACATACTTTTTGGGGAAAGTGCTGTTAGCGAGCAACACCTATGAAGGCCAGCACGGTGCACGCACACACATGCGACAGTTCAATAAAAATCGTTCCACTCCCCAGCGTCCACCACACTCGCCCATTCACACGCAGCTGTGCCGTCACGGAGCAAGGCTTGCTGTTTGACCGTTTATATTCGGCCAACGATTGTCAAAAGGCTGTGCTTAATGTAATAGAAGTTTTGATTTTAAAAGCTTGCATATTGGTAGGTGGCGGAGGGAGTTTTTAACACGTGAGCATGGCTCGCCGTTTATATACCGTGCCGTGTTGTGGGGTTGGGGGGGGTTAAAAATTCTTTAAAAAAGGTTAAATGTTACTTTGTCCAGATCTGAGCGACGAGTTGGGCAATGATGATACGTTTGGGCGTCACCAGATGCTCTAACCACGCCCACAATATTAGCATAACCCCACCCCCCTTTCTGGCTGCCCTCCCCCACATAACAGGATTGTAACAACCAACCACAGGCGTGCAAATGCATCACGTGGTGATGAATCGCCGAGCAGATCAATGCTTTCAAGTGGAGTCCGTCCACTATGGGTTGCAGAGACGTCCGCTTACAAGCAGATCGGTTGCGTGCAACAGGATTGCACAACTGCTCGCTTAGACGTGGATTCTTTAAACAATTGTCCAAATGATCGAAGCAATGATTGAGAACCGTTATAGGAAAAAAAAAATTGTGTGTGCTGCAGGCATTCACACATTGGCTTGTCCTCCGATAGCACGATACAGCTTTTGCTCCATCAGGCATTACAATCTCAAATATTGAGAAATACAGTAGTGGGAATTAAAGCATTCTCCCGGAGGTAAGCATGGCGGCCTATTGCAAGAAGACGCGCTCGTAACAGCCGGCCCAATTAAGCGGAGCCACGGACGGAGCCATGGAAGTCGTCGGTGGCATGGTCGCGACGCACTCTTGCCACCCCAACCTCGTCATTCCTCCTACGCGCAAACTACGGCGCCTTTGTGCTGGCGCTCACCGGCGCGGGCAACGACCTTAAATTATAACTCGGGCGGGGGCCGCACATTAACGCAGATCCTTGGCGTCGTTCGATAGTAACGTGAAAGATAACGTGCGTGATTCGACCGAGTATAAAGAAGCCGCATGCAGTGACAAAAGTGGCTGGGCACGATAAAATAAGAAGCACAGTGTTGTTGCCAGGGAAAATATGCATATGTAAACTGCCCTCTAGTACCCGATTAGTGCAGCTCAGATGCTTGCAGTGACGGATAAATATAATTTCCCCGGCTCTTTTTGAGTGGCCTAAAAAAGCCACGGGCCTCAGGCCGTATTTAAATTAATTAGCGTGCCATGCATACTTAAACTATGGGCCGTATGAAATTAAGTCGCAGACTGCGTTGAAATGCAGTTGTGCGTGTCATATCCGGCATGTGGATCGTATTCAATGAAGTAGCGGGCCCTGTCAGGCTCAAGGGAAGTAGGTTGCCCGATCCCCCGCCTGACAGAAGCTCGAGACGGAGGAGGGCGCAGGAGCGGGTGGGCCGACGAACGAGCGGGAAGCCGGAAGGCACAGGCAGGCCGATGGAGGAGCGGGCGGGCGGGCAGGGGCAAGGGGGAACCGTCCCAGCCGCGCCTAGAGCTCGTCGTGCCGCCCGGAGCCCATCGGCCGCATGCATCGGCCGATGAGCAGCGTGGCGCCGGATCGTGCGTCGCGCACCAGGAAGAAAAAGGGGTGGTCGATGTAGAAGAGGTGCGGGTTGCGCATGTCGGGGTGCCCGTGCACGGACATGTCGTACTCCTCCCCCTCTGTGTCGAACTCCAGCGCCGCCGTGTGGAGCAGCGAGCCCAGGTGCAGCTCCCGGCCGCCGGTCATCCCCGAGAAGTCGGCCTTCGCCTTGTCGCCGACCTCCGCCAGGCCCAGGTCGGCCAGAGAGTTCTGCGCGCGAACGGAGCAAGGCGTCGTTATTTCGTCTCGTCCGTGGCGGGCTTCGTCGAATCTCGAGACTTTCGCGGGAGGGTTCCTTGCCCCTCCGTACTGCCACGGCGTAACGCACACACCGCGCTAGTTTGGCGACCGCTTCGCTCATCTAACTCCACACCTCCGATTAACATGGTTGGCTACGTGCCGTGCGAAAGAAGTTAAACATACATAAATACTTGTCTCTCGTCTACATCTCTCATCTCACCACATCTCCACTCGCCGGCGAGCTGGAACCACGGTAACTGGCGCGCCGCTAAACGCCATGACGATGTTATTCGCTTGGCTGCCATCAGGTTCTTAACCACTTTCGTGGCCTTTCCCAAAAATCTGTTATGAATCTTTACCTCTTCTCTCATCTCACTGCTGGGGGGGGGGGGGGGGGGGGGGTTATAAATGAAAAGGGAGAGGAAGGGGCCGAGAGGACTTACAACAGTGACAGCTTAGGACCCCGAATGAACCGCCGCCACCACCAGCAGCAGCACCGTCGGTGGGGTACCTTGATGTCAGCAGAGCCTTGCAGCAAGCCCTTGGGCATGGAGACGGCGATGGTCTTCTTCTGCAGCTTGGAGGTCCACTCCTCGAGCTGCTGCTTGGTGAGGAGCTTCTCGAGGCGTTCCAGGGACTCCGTGTGCAGTGGCAGGGCGATCAGCAGGCTCTCCAGGTTGCCCTTGAGCTGCATCTCCAGCAGCTGCACCTGCGCCTTCTCGTCGTGGTAGAAGTTGTAGAAGCCTGCCAGGAGCCGGGGTGGGACGCTCGATTCAGACCCCTGCTCCGCAGACCGAACCCGGGACATGTTCGTCGGTCGGGGCAGGGCTCTTTACGTGCTCACCTGCGTGGCGAGTGCTCACCTGTGAGCGCTCACCTGTACATTGTGTGAACCCACCTGTGGGTGCTCACCTGTACGTTGCGTGAAATAACCTGTGAGTGCTCACCTGTATACTTTGTGAACTCGCCTGTGGGTGCTCATCTGTACATTGTGTGAACTCGCCTGTGAGTGCTCACCTGTACGTTGTGTGAACTCGCCTGTGAGTGCTCACCTGTGTGTGCTCAGCCGTACATCGTGTGAAACTCACCTGCGCGCGCTCGCCCATATGCGCGCGTTCGCTTGCGCGGCGCGAGCGCTCACCTGTGCGATGCATCATCTGGATGGAGATGGTGTGGGAGCGGCTGGTTAGGAAGCCGCGGGTGTCCACCATCTGGTGGTGGAACTTCTCATTCCAGCGGCCTGCGCTCACACACAACGCGGCCCGTCGCCGTGCAGGTGAGCCCCCCCCCCCACCTCCAACCCCCCTCCAACCGCCGCCCCTCCACCCGCCTGCAACGAACGCCGTTAGCGGGTGATGTCTCTGTATGTGGAGGTGGCACCGTCGCACAAGCGATAACGATGATGCGTAAGATGCATCAGTGGCGGAGTCTGACTTCTATATTTGGGAGTGGGGGCGGGGGGGGGTTCGCTTTGTTCCTCAGTTTAGGAATCGCGTGTGAATGTGATACATTTATTTTTACTCTTAATTGTAAACTACTAAAAATAAATTTAGAAAGGTGTCCAGTTTGGGGGGCATTGCCCCACCTGTGCCCCTCCCCCAAACTCCGCCCAAGGTAAGTTGCCCTTGCTACTGGTGCGGCCGATGATGGTGACGTTGGTGACAGCGATGATGACACAATTCTGATGCTGCTGATGTTAATACCACTACCGCTGATGATGCTACTAGCGGTACTGCTGATGATGCTGCCGATGGCGCCAATGCTACCGCTGACGACGACGCGACCGCTGCGGGCCTTGCTGGAGCTGCTGCTCGCGAAGAGAACTGCAACAACGGCAACAAGCGGCGCTACCATCGTGCCCTCTAGTGGCCGGCCGCCACCCCGGGTGGCGTCGCTCACCCTTGAAGAAGAGCGCATTGACGAAGACCGCCCCGTCCGCGCCGTCCAGCTCCTTGGCCACTTCTTTGACCTTGCCGCCGGTGTTCTGCGCGGCCCACTCGTTGAGGGCCTTCAGGGCGCCGCGCTTGTCCTTGAGGTTCACCTTGTCGTGCTGCAGGCCGTAGCGGGCCTTGCTGGAGCTCACAAAGCCCTGGCTGAAGGTCACGCCGCTCGGCGCGTAGACGCGCGACGCCGCCTTCCACGTGTGGTTCCTCCAGGTGGCCGCGGCGGCGGCGGCCTCCTCCTCCTGCGAGGCCAAGTCCCCCAGGACCTCGGCCAGGCCCGAGTGGAAGCCCTCGCCGGGCAGGCCCGACGGGTTGATGGCCTTCAGCAGCCGCGACGCCGTGCCCGAGGAGGCTCCGAGCTGAGCCGCTCCCAGCGCCGATGCGACCAGCACGGGTGAGAGGACAACGTTCTCCATGGCCGGCACGGCCTTCGCCACGCTTTGGTAGAGGTCGATGGCGAAGGCCCAGTTGCCCTCGCCCACTTTCTTGGCGTGCTCGCTCAGGTTCTTGGGCGGCGCCGTGGCGTTGTTGGCGGCCGCCGCGTCCGCCTTGGACACCGTCGCCTTTTTGCCGTCGGCGGCAGCGGCGGCGGCGAGCGCCCCGGAAGCCAGCGCTGCCAGCAGCAGCATGCGGAGCGTGGAGGCCATCTCTTTCTTGCTTCGAGCAGCGGCGGGTGGTTCGTTTTGCCTGCGGGTGGGTTTGTGGCGGCGGCTGTTGGGGTTTAGGCGCCGGCAAGGACCTGCGGTTGTGTTTCAGAGTAGAGCAAAGGGGCGTTGTTAACGTGCGAGAGAGTTCTGGCCGGGTGAGCGAAGCTCTGCCGTTTATAGCCTGACGTGGCGCAATTGGCTCGCGGGGAAAGCGTCGGCCAAAAAAATATAAATATATATTCATAACGGGCTCTCTTATTCCCCAAAGTTGGCTGAGTGCCAGGCCACTCAATCTTTTGGGTAAAACCAACGCAGGGGGGGAGGGCGCAAACCCGTCGACAGCGCAATGCTCCCAGGCTTGCGTTGCCCCATCAATGACAGCTTGCGAGTGATGCACGAGGTGCGTATTGAAAACGAACGCAAAAAATGGGAATAAGGTCAAGCTTTGGGAGGCCAAACCAGGACACATGGTGAGCTGAGAGCCCCGCCCACCCAGTGTCAGCATCGCCCGCTTTCCAATAGCCACGCCCACTCAGACACCAGCTCCACCCACACAGGGGGTTGTCCACGCCCCCCTTCACTACCCCCCTCCCCCCAATGATCATAGGCCTCGCCCACTACTCGAGATGGCTCCGTCCTTTCCCCAGATCATGAGTCGAGCGTGGGGCCAGAACATTTTAAACCAGACAAAAAATCCAGATTTACACAAATGCTTTGTTGCTGAGGGGCACTGGGACAGAATTTGGGAAATCACCTGGATTGCCCCGGCAAAAGCAAGACATGTGATACATTTATGATGAGGCCACAATAGGTCATGACCTCGTCTAGCTCTGTCGGGTGGCGGTGGTCCTGGTCAGGAACGGCAGTGCTTGGAGTGGCTCAGGTTTGTTTGAAGGTCAAGAAAGAGACCATCGGGCCAAACATCTCACGCTGGACCCTGATCTCTGTAGGATTGAGGCCATGTCCCATGCTATGAAACTAGGAACACACTTAATGTGACCCACCAATCCATTTGGTAATTGGCATGAGTCGTCTAAAATCAGGCGTGGCTAGGGCCACGCCTGTTGTGCTTTGGGCCCTCTGGAACTCAAAGGAGAAGAGCAGCAGGCAAAAATTTATATATTTTTTTATATCAAATAAAACATCCAGGTTTCAGTTGGCTTTGGACATGGATTGACAGGGCAAAGGCGTGAGTATTTTATGCATTCAAAGGGCCCTGGAATGCCCGACGAGCGCTGTATTAAAGCCATCTCTATTCAAATGAACAGGTAATTGGTTTAACTATATCCTTGGTTCTTTCGGTAAAGTCACGTAGAACCAAGAATATGAATCCCTGCAGTCACGAAAGCTTTACATCTAAATTAGTTTAACTATTAGCGTATTCTTGGGTTAATAAGGCGCACTATTCTCCCGTGGTTTTTTAATTCTAAAGTTGGGGGTGAGCCTTATTAATCCGATACATGGGTGAGTGTGTGAGACTGGATCTGTACAACTTTATTGACACGGCCCCACAAGTTTGCTGGTGCATCTTACTTTCCGGAGCATCTTCTGATTTGGAGAATGCATTGCATTTGCAATTCACATTTTTGTAACAATTAAACACTGTTTGACTATTGGAGCCATTTTTTTTTCAAAAAGGGAAGTTACTCAACTTGGATGACAAATATCGGGCGATTTTGATTTGAATAAGATCGAGCCATTTCTCATTTCTCAATGCGTTGCAGGACCACGAGAGATGGCAGCAACTCATGGGGAAGGCCTTCATCCAGCAGTGGATTGGTCACGGCTGCCGGCGACGAATGGCGACCACGTGCGCCAGTTCACCATCGGTAATTTTTTGCAATGTGACCGTGAATTTCAAAAAGCATGGCGGTGGTGTCGGTTCCTGCCAAGTTCAAAGTGGCCGTTGGAATTTAAGCCCCTAAAAAAGTCTGCGGAAAACCACTTCTGGTGATGGTTCCAATCTAAATAAAATAAATATCTCCGCGAGCCGCCCTCCACAGCAACGGACTCTCGTCGGAGCCACGTGGCTCTGGGTTTGGACAGCAGAAGCAGCAGACCGTGACACGGACACTGCCTCCGGGCTGCTGCCAGAAATGTAGCCCCCCTCCAGAACTGAATACGTGGCAGCGCGTATATATTTATTTATTATTGAATACACCCCCTCCCACCCTTGTCAATCCCCTGCTGGATAATTGATTCCTGGCCATGGTTTATGTAAGTGGTGGGTGATATCAGAACTGATTCAGGGCCCCCTATTCACCCCCCCCCTCCCAGGGTGGTGAAGTATGGTCAAACAAACCCCCATGACCGACACGACGTGGGGAGGCCTTCATCCAGCAGTGTATTAACAAATGGCAGTCATAAAAAAGATACACGTTTTAACCCAGGGCCGAATCACCTGGAATCCTGTAATTTTGGAAGCCAAGCGTGGTTGAGCCTGGATAGTACTTGGATGGGTGACCACCATTTACAACCAGGTTGTCATCGGACTTATGCGAGCTACGTTATGGACAGAGCAGCAGTACAGCAGCGTTGTACATTGTTGTATGGTAATATGCTCCCATGTTTACACTCCGCACCTTCATCAACCCGCACCGACCAACAAGGATGGTGGGATGACTCCCCCACGACCAGCACAGCGGAGTTTGGCGAGGCCCTCGTCCAGCAGTGGATTTCATGCAACGTTTACATTCATACCAAACGGACCTGCTACAAACATTTAAGTACTGTACAGTATGCATTGCCGCATACTTGTAAACCACGCGTTTTCTGTGCGTAAATAATTCATGCTGTTGGAAGTGTGGCACTTTCAAGGTCATTTATTGGAAGAGGTGAATCGAAAACACAACATTTTAAGGACACTACACTGGCTGAAAATGCTGTTCCACGCAAAAAAATTAGTACCGTATATACAGAAATAAGCAATGATCCGCTGAGCTGCATTGCAGTATAAGTCGGACTCGCTTGGTGTCTGCGAGCCATCACAGGGGCCAGTTGAGCACATGTTGTCAAGGTCAACTCAGGGCTTTAAATAACGGTTTTCAAGATCAGTGTGTGCAGTTGGGTATTGTGAATACGAATTACAATTTATCCAGGAAAGCCTCACCGAGTCTCAAGACTATCTTTTCACGAGGGCCCTGCCACATTGGGATGTTTTGGCCAAATTCTGGCAATGAGGGTCTGTCTTCATGTGGGAAGGAAACGCCACCACGCGTCGGACAAGGGTGACACTCAGCGCTGGCACAACTCCCCCAAGCCCCTGCGCCTACAGCGCCTGGCAAGCCCATTGTGGGTCGCCGCCCATGCCGAGTGCTAGCCAGGCTCGACACTTGCTTAGCTTCCGAGATCTGCAAAGGTCGGCCACGTTCGGGTTGATTTTGGTCATGGGGTTTATATATAAATTATCTTTTGTATCGAACGTCTGATACGTGGTCGTCCATCCAAGTAGTGGGCAGGCTCAATTGTGCTTAACTTCAAATGTCGAAATGGTCTGGTGCCCCTCAAGTCGATTCGGTCTTAGGCATTATTATAATAATATGAAGTACAGTATATAAATACTGCATGGCATCGGATATCAGATGATATACAGTTCAGTACCGTGCACAGTAGTCAACATACACTGTTGTAATCTTCACTGCTTCAATGTCCAAGCTGTCCAGGGTGGTGAAGTATGGCCAAACAACCCCCACTGCGTGGGCGTGTTCTCGGCCGTCAATGGATGTGACAAGACGGGCTGTGGCTCGTGTACATAAACAGATTCTTTTTTTAAGAAGCTCCGTAAAGTTAGACGCGTTAGGCAGTCAACAAAATAACACAAATCTGATCTTCACACACACAAGCCTACCGGATGTTAGACGTACCCCCTCCCCGCAACTTTGGTATTGAATAACAGGGGGCAAGTGTCTTATAATCCAGAGAATACGGTAATGCGTACACGTAGGTTTCGCGACTAATATCCATAATAACGTTTTTTTGGGTTAGATTGCGTAAATATGAATGTGTCGTTAAACCCGCCACCACCCGACACAGCCAATAACGTGTCAATTCGTTACTAGTACAGCACACCGGTGTGTTGGAGAGTAAATCCACAACATTTACAAGTTGAGTACGACGTTTCGCCAGTAATTACAACTAGCATCATCAGGCGACGGCCAGATTTGTGGAGAAATCCTCCCGTTTCGCTCTTCCAATATTGGCACTTTCTGTTTACGTGACAAACCTTACGAAATGACCGTGTCGGGTGGTGGCGGGTATAACGACACATTTATATTTACGCGATATAACCCATAACAAACCCCCTCTATTATGGACGTTACTTTCAATAGTACAGATGCATTGCCCTACTGTCTCAATAGGGGTCGGCATGGAGCGCGTGGTGGCGAAGTGCCACGTCGACACAGCCGCGTGTCCATAAAAGGGGGGGGGCCCTGGGCTCCCGTCTCGCATTCGCAGAGGCCCAATTGGGGGTCTCTAAGCAGCAATTAATGTACCCCCCCCCCCCATTGCCACCTCTCTTTCGGTTCATGCAAACTCTGAGTGAGATGACAGAAGAGACATGGACAGGAGATGGAGATGCAGTGAGATAAGGGTAGAGAGAGATGTCGTGAGATGAGAGATGTTAGACAATAGCGAGAGATGCAGTGTGATGAGAGATGTTAGACAATAGGGAGAGCCGCAGTGAGAGAGATGTTGACAATAGGGAGAGACGCAGTGTGATGAGAGATGTTAGACAATAGGGAGAGACGCAGTGTGATGAGAGATGTTAGACAATAGGGAGAGACGCAGTGTGATGAGAGATGTTAGACAATAGGGAGAGCCGCAGTGTGATGAGAGATGTTAGACAATAGGAAGAGACGCAGTGTGATGAGAGATGTTAGACAATAGGAAGAGACGCAGTGTGATGAGAGATGTTAGACAATAGGGAGAGACGCAGTGTGATGAGAGATGTTAGACAATAGGGAGAGACGCAGTGTGATGAGAGATGTTAGACAATAGGGGGAGACGCAGTGTGATGAGAGATGTTGACATTAGGAAGAGACGCAGTGTGATGAGAGATGTTAGACAATAGGAAGAGACGCAGTGTGATGAGAGATGTTAGACAATAGGGAGAGCCGCAGTGTGATGAGAGATGTTAGACAATAGGGAGAGACGCAGTGTGATGAGTGATGTTAGACAATAGGAAGAGACGCAGTGTGATTAGAGATGTTAGACAATAGCAAGAGACGCAGTGTGATGAGAGATGTTAGACAGTAGGGAGAGACGCAATGTGATGAGAGATGTTGACAATAGGGAGAGACGCAGTGTGATGAGAGATGTTAGACAATAGGGAGAGACGCAGTGTGATGAGAGACAATAGGGAGAGCCGCAGTGTGATGAGAGATGTTAGACAATAGGGAGACGCAGTGTGATGAGAGATGTTAGACAATAGGGAGAGACGCAGTGTGATGAGAGATGTTAGACAATAGGAAGAGACGCAGTGTGATAACAGGAGAGATACAGATGAGACAGATGAAGTTAGATGGGATATACTAACGAGATAGAGATATCTTATCTCAATTACTTTTTAGCATTCCATGCTCCACCACAGTGCAGAACAAAGCTCCTTGACAGTACAGTAGCTGTTACTTGCACAGACACGAACCCGTCATTCCAGGGGCATGCTCGAGCCAATGACGTCTGACAATGCCACCGGTATTCGTGTAGCGGATTTGGCTCGTAATTGGTTTATTCCCGTGAGATGTCTGCGAATCTCCGTTATGTTCTGCTCACGATATTTTAATCCCGTCGCTGAAGTATCCCCTCCCTGACTCTGGTACTTTTTTTATTTATTTCAAGCAAATATTTACCTGCCGCCGATGCCAGTCGGGCAGATCACATACCACTCCAGCTAAATAGGCAGAGGTCACCAATTGTCCGACATCCGTAGCACTTCTTAATCGTCGCGTGGCAAATCGATTTTTGTTTTGACTGGCATGGGATCTAATTACGCGAGATTCTTGAAATTTATCCAGGAGAGTCTCAAGATTTAGTTCAAAAGGGTCCTGCCTAACAAATGGGATGTTTAGTTAATTTCACGAAAACGAATTTTTGGTGATGTCGCTGCTGCTGCGCTGGCTGTGGTGCCCGAATCAAAAATAACGATGCAACGCATTCGTCACTAACACGGTGTGGCCTTAAAACGTTCTGCAGGATACAATAGGCAACGTTTTCGGCTAATAACCCTTATCCGCGGCACAACGCAGAGTTTGCATTAACGAACGTGTTGAGGCTGTATCATTAACTAAGGAGAGTTTTGGCTTCGCGTGGGTAGTAAAAGCCGGAGGACCCGGAGATAACCCAGCAGCACGCGAGATTCCATTGGATGGTCCACACACGGGAGTTAGAGAGGGGCTGAAACGCCAAACTGTGGCAGTAGCAGCCGACAATTATCAGAACCGGGGCCAATTGAAGCCGCCGGGTCAACGCGTTGTGTGGGTGGCGGTGACATTCACGGCGAACGACTCCTGCATTGCAGATGCACCACGGTGCAGCAGAGACTTGCTGTTACATTAAAATAAACATAAATTACGGGATTTTTGATTTGGTGGAGGTTGTGTTGGTGGTGGTTGTGGTGCACTTAGCCGGAGTCTAAACAAACTATCAACAAATCTGCGACTCCTTTGTCCGCTGCTGAATGAAAGAACTTCCCCATTGCCCACTCGGTCGTTGAGGGGGGTGGGGGTCGCTTGACCATACTTCACCACGCCGGTCGGTGCGGGTTGGTGAATGAGATTATATTCCCGAGACCAGTTCGGATCATCACTCGCCACGGATATTAGCCGTGGCCGGGAACCGAACTGGAGTTGTGTTGGTTTTAAAGCGCAGTGCGCCAACCTCTGCACCACCGCTCCCCCTCCCTATCTCAAAACTAAACGGGCCGAAAACGTGTGCTCTTGGCACAAGGGACATTGCCCGAAACGTTACTCAAACACTAACAAACCCTAAAAAAATCCTTTATAATCAAACATTAAAGACAAAAGCGCACGTGAAATCACCCTCAACGCGCCCGATCTCGTCAGATCTCGGAAGCTAAGCGGTTTCGAGGCTGGCGAGTTGTTGCTCGGACATAGCCAGCGCAGAAATATCCATCGATATCCACCCCCCACCCACCACCAACCCGCAACGACCGGAAAGTGAAGTATGGTCAAATACCCGGACAACATTGGATGGTCAAATCGGGCTCTGTGCATGCGTGCGAGTTAACAGCGAACGCAACTCAAAAGCCACGAGGCGCACTCCTCTCGCCAGACTTACTGCGAGACGGCTTCAAAGGACTCGAGACACACACAGCAACTTAAGTACCAAGGACACACGCAGACGGCGATCCGCTCATAAGATCCCCCCCACCCACCCCACAACTAAAATAACTGCGGAGAACACAGCATCGTGAACATTAAGTCGTCTTTTATGTACACCGTTAGCCCATCGGATATATGGCTTTCCTTTGCCGAGTACCCCCGTTCGATCGAACGGCATTTGTCTAACTAAAGCAGGTTTAAAAAAAGCTGTGTGCTTGTCTCGCGGCAGTACAAGTCTCGTCGGCGGTGGTATATAGAGGTATATAAAGGCTGGCCGAGCAAATTTCGCAAGAGTCCGACAGTCGCCGCGTACTTAAGGCGCGCCGCACAAAGCCCTCTTCTTTGTTGCGTGCGCTAGACGCGGCAGCCGCCCGTCGTTTTCCGTCACGGGAGAGAAAGAGAGAGAGATAGAGATATATATATAAGTTTTAAAGTCGTCGCTGGCTCGTTGAGCGAGCGGAGGAGGTGTCTGTGAACGGGTCGACGTCGACTTACCACGCAGAACGAAGGCGCCTAAGGAATGGAGGGAGGAGAGAGGAGCAACAAGGGCGGGCGATTTTGGTTTTTTTTGTGTGCGGGAGGCGAAGCGAGACGCGAGGACTCACAGAGAGAGCCGGGAGAGGGCGGGGGGGATGCAAAGGCGGCCGAGGAGGACTTAAAACAACTAAAAAACAACCGCTTTGCGCTTTCGTTGGGATCGGCGCGCCGTCCTTTTTATAGCGGGAACGGCCCCTCCCGCAACCCACCCTAAAAGAACTTTCCAGAAAAGTGGGCCGATTGCTTCTTCCATCATCTGTCTGTCTTGCTCCGACCAAACTCCTCCCAGAGCATCCGCCCGCGGACAAATCGCGCGGTGCCGCGCCTGCGAGCGGAGGAATGCGATCCCAGACGAAGACCCCCCACCCCACCGGCTCCGCCACGCCACCCGAGAATCTCTCACGGTCCCTCGGAGCGAGGGCTGTGAGCGAGAGGCGGGCACGGCAACGCTACCACGCCCGGCCGCCTTTGTCTCTCCCCACTGCCGATGGGTTTTTTTTTTCGAAACCGAGCCAGGTTACTCATTTCAGGCTGAGTCGACCTAAGCGGGGGGTGGTCCAGCACCAGGGGGTTCGGATATCCGCCACCGGTGCTGATCGTGAGCGGGAATTTAATTCGTGCGCTACCGATGCACTACCGCTCCACATTCAGGCGACATCCAACTTCCATAAACCACAAACGATAATTTTACTTTTAATATACATTAGTTTCGTTAGTAATAGTTTTTGACGATGGAAGGGTTTGTCTGGTTTTTGTTTACCCAATGTTGACTATTGTTAGGTAACTATTGAGAATCTTGATTTATTTCATTCTCATCAGGCCCTATGGTGTCAAGTGAGGTCTCGTACTATTAGTATCTCTGGCTACGAAGAAGGCCCATTATCCGAAACGTCGCCTATTGCATATTACAGTATTCCTTTCAATGCCACTGTGTCACGGACGGATGTCTTTCGTTTTTCTTTTAATCTAAAACATTGCAAACTGTGAGTGGAAGTAGGCGTGTGGTAAGGGAAGCGACACACGGCCGCCTTTGTCTCCCCGCTATCGATGATTTTCGTACGCATGGACGTCACATGCCATAGATCGAGAGCAGTGAATATCCAGCCGTGATGATTTTCAATGATCGTCATCGGCCATGATCAGTCTACTGCTGGATGATGCCCTCCCTAAGGCCTCACCTATAGTTGTTGTGCACGTAACAGCAGCAACAACAACGACTGGAGAGTAACGATGTTGATTTCTCGACCAAAGTATTTGTCACGAGCCATTTGTTTTGTATCCAGGAGAGAATGGTGTGTAGCGATGTTCGGCCGATGATGTTTCAATGAGTGTGGTGTATGTGTGGGAGAAAGACTGGAAGACCTGGAAAAAACCCCCATCAACACGAGTTGGATAACGCTCACAATCTCTGCTATAAGTAATCCCGTTGCCTGGCATGTATGGAAATAAATAAACAGTGATATATGATTTGTATTCGAAAACGCTTCGGAAACTAAAACGTACGACATACGTGTGCCATGTATCAATAACGTTATACAGTTCACATGTATTCTTAGTTACACACACACACGTGTATCTGGTTATGAGGCGTAACCCACAACTTTTGCTGTAAATTACAGGGGGACACAGTACATCTTTTAGCCTGGGGACTGCCGTGATAGCGAGCGTGCGTATTGTGAGCTCTGCTATTGTGCAAAGGGGCTGTCCATATATGACGTCACGCGATTTTGGATGATTTTTGACCCCCCCCCTCGTCACACGGCGTCACAAAAAGTCAGACCCCCCCCCTCAAATATGACGTCACAAAGCTCTGCCCCCCCCCCCCCAAAAAAAATGCTTAAAATCGCTTTAAACTATTGTCATTGTAGTGCGTATTTAATGTGCCGCTGCACTCTGATGTAGGAGAAAACATTTATTAAAAACTCTATATAATTAAGTAGAACGTGTTGTCCATATTTATTTGAAGTTGCGCATTTTGATGTGACGTCACATTTATCAAACCCCCCCCTCCCCCTCGTCACACATGGTCACAAATGGCTGACCCCCTCCCCTCCCCCCCCCCGAAGTGCGTGACGTCATTTATGGACGGCCCCAAAGTGATGCAAGTTCCTAGGGGATTGCATGAGTTGCATACACATGTAAGGCGCCAAGACCATGAATTAATCTTGTGCAGCACTCACACGTTTACCGTGATGCAATGGATATGCAACGCAGAGGTCGACTATTCGATTCGCCTATTCGATCTCCAGGCGCGACAGCTGAGACAAGGTGATGGGGGAGGGGGGGGGGCAGTTTCTTAAATATGTACAACCCAGCAGTATGAATGTGTTCCACCACGGTTAGTCGATATCTCTCCCACCTCGTCAAGCCAGCCCGAAATTAGTCGGACAACATAGTTTGTTTAGAGGGAACTGTCCAAAAGCTCCTTCTAGTGGAAGTCCCTCTTCCGTGGGCAGTCTCGTGTGAGAGCAATTGGGGAGGGCTTTTGCGCCTTTGGCGTTTGACAAAAAGAGGCTCGTACTCTTGGGTCTTTCGATCAAGTCACGTAAATAAAAAAAATCACGTTTCGATCGTAAACACAAGCAATCGTCTGCGGGTGAGAGAGAAGACGATTTCTGGTGTTGCGATCGAAACGATTGTGATCTATTATTTCTTATTTACGTGACTTGACCGAAAGACCCAATATAATGAATGCCTGCAGTCGCGAAAGCTTTAAATCAAGATACAAAAGAAGGCTCGTCCACCTGCGAGCAATGTCACGCCGACCCAACTTGCCCGACGAGAGATGCTCATCTTATCTCCGTAGTCAAGGGACGCAATGCCCAGCCTCTCCCGTAACGCTGCACGGCTCCTGTGTGCCGACTGAAAAATAAAAAAAATATATATTAATGTCGAGAGGCAGAAAGCAGTTATCATAGTATGTTTTTTGTTTGCATTTTGACTGCAGGTATTGTGGTTAACGCAGACATGAATCCTTGTAAAAAGGTTTCAGTTTTGTTGCCAGAAAAAAGGGGGAATAACCCCTATTATTACAGTTGAACTTTCATTACTTTTAAGAATATATTCTTCCTGTTGTGGCACACGCAGCCCCGTGATCCAGCAAGCTGGATTGGTTGATCACCGCGCGAACGACAATGTTGAGATATATCCCTTCCCCTTGAGTGTCCTGCAGCCGTCACGTACCAACAGAATGGCAGTTACAGCAAGGGGTGCGCTGGGATCCACCTCTCCCTTGGGCATGGATGAGAGCGATACGCCTCTCGCACGCATGAGCTTTTACTCCGGCTGCTGCCGTTTCCTCCCACACGTATAACGTCTTGTAAGCGAGCAGCAGCATTTGTTTAACTAATCCTAACTCTGCTGATGAGATCCCGGAAGGTCGAAACCGGTCCAACGTTTGCTTGCTTAAACAAATGGTTCTCGACAATGCCGATCAGGATTGACCACTACGCTCGACTGAAACGTATTTGTGTGGAGACCACGGGATGGGGTTTTTTTTAATTTTTGTTGGCTGTATGCCGCTGTTGTGATAAGCCACTTATCTCACTCTGGGAACCTCAGTCAGTAAGTCTTAGCGATCGAGCGTGTCATAATTTAATTCGATTGCATTGCTTTGACATTTTGCAGCGGAGTAGTGTATTGCCAAATGCGTGAAAGTGAACGTTCATATTTATTATAATTATATGCAGAGATATATTCCCTACTCGATATTTTCCGGAACGCTGTGGGGCTTGCTGGCTTGGAGCAGTGATTATCGGCGTAAGGCACTACCACTAGATTATAAGGTTCGCCTATTCATAACAATACTATATTATTGTACACCCTATATTCCTACAGTCATATGACCGGATGCAAATATGTAAACCATTCGGATAAAACTAGGCGAGATGGATTTGCATAAATAATTCACGTTAACACATTTACAAAAAACAGAGACGTCTCATTCATATTCCTGTCTCAAATAAAAAATATATATTTGTACCCACCCCATCAGCCCCACGAACTTCTAGGGGTGCATAATGTCAGCAGCATTGGTTCAACACAAGCAGCAGCCTTGGACCGGTCTCGACTTTCGGCGTCTCATCAGCAGTGAAGCCCCATTTGATACTCCGACTGATGCTTCTGTTGTTGTGGAGTAACTCATGCAGCCAGCTATGGCTCTAGGATTTGGTGTTACATGTTATTTATGTTGTTTATTGTAAAAATTCGGTCACAGTCCCTGTGATCACTGTTATGTTGCAATTATGGCTTTATTTTTTGGTGATTTGGAAAACGTTTTTTGGTTTGGACATGTTTGTTTTGTTGTAGTACGGAGTTAGACTGATGGCCTTAATCTAAGTTTTTGTGGTTGTTGTTGTTGTTTGACTTGCATCCCACTGGGATTTTTTTTGCACCCAGCGTTGGTGTACGGTGCTTTTGTCAGGAATATTTTTGCTGTTTTTTTCCATGGATTTTCTGTTTTGCACAGTCACATAGTCACGTTAAGATGTTTTTATTGTTCGTGTTTTTGTTTTTGTTTGTTGTGGTTGCACCCGATTCAAGAGCCGAATGGCTCACAGGGCTATACCAAAATAAACTGAAACTGAAATTTGAAGCGATGCTGGGAAAACATTTCCAGCATGTTTGAAGGCAAGAAGGTCACTCTTACTCAAAGATCCTATTCCTATAGAGATAAGCACGGTAAACCATTCAATACATTTTTATTTAAAGCTTTCGTGACTGCAGGGATTCATATTCTTGGTTCTTTCGGTAGTCACGTAGAAGGGAAACAATAAAATAATAAAAATATAAAACAATAAAATAATAATAAAGAACCAGAATACCACTCAATAAAGTTATTCACGTTGAGGTAATCAATAAAGTTGTTCACGCTGAGGTAGTCAATAAAGTTGTTCACGCGTCGCCTCCACAATAAAGTTATTCAATACCGGATCTCCAGCCACGTCTTCGCTAGGCCTCGCTTCGCCGCTGCAGATCGTGTCCCCGTGTCCCCGTGTCCACGCCTCCACGCCAATTAGACCAACTACATCGTTATCAGACGTTGCTTGGCAACTGCGCCGAACTAATTAAGCCGCAATGACTAATGGTGAGTCCTTAATTTCGCTTCGTACCGCCTGCGTTTGTGAGGTTCCCATATCGACCCCAGCGTCGCCTAGATTTCGCCGCGGGGAAGAGGCGCCTTTGCTCGGGGAGCCCTTTAGGCGAGCGCCGGTGATGGCGTAGGCGGCGCGGTGAGTGTAGGCCCTCGTTAGGATTATCGTTGCTAAGTGATTGTTGGTAAAGTTTAAAAGCTATCTATTGACAATTAGGACTGGTGAACGTGGCGAATTGTACAGCGAAGGGTCGTGTGCGAACACACAGTTTGGGCTTGACTGACAGATCATAAGAGGGAGGGCGAGGTGGTTATTGAGGGGCGTGTGGCGTAGTGTCTGTGTCTTTCTGTGGGCAGTGTCATGTCTATATCGATCTATTTCTGTATCTCTATATCTATCTATTTCTGTATCTCTTGTCTTACCACCCCGTGTCTGCCTCTCGGTCTGGTTTTTTGTTGTGTGTCAAATTATTTGCGTGCGTGTTTGTGTATCTCATTTTATTTTTGGCCAGTGTCTGCGTTTATCTCTTTGCTTCTGACGGTGATAATTGCCTTTTGCCACTTACTGCAGAGGTTCACGGTTGGATTGCAGCGGCCGCCCCGATTATCGCTGTGGGTATAACAGCCCCTTGACGTCATTCGCTAGAGTAGGCCATTGTGTGCCACCGTCAGGGTTCACGTTTGCCACATTCGTCAATTAAGCCGATCGGGGGTTAGACTTAACAACAATCGTCTCCTACTGGCAGACGAATGCCCCAGGTCACTCAAGCAAACGAGGCTATTACTGGTCGTACGAGTCCTCACCTGGTTACACAATATACATTTGAATTTGTTTTTCTGTATCTGTGTCCTGCGTCTTATCTCCTCCATCTATCTCTCTGTGGCTGTGTTTCTCCGGGTGGAGCGGTGGCAGAGTGGTTTATTCACTGCGGTGTGTATCCAGCTACCTGAGTTCAATTCCTTGCCACGGCTTACAGCAATAGTGATATCTGAACATCAGCCATGGTGAATCGACTGCTGGATGAAGGCCTTCCCGAGTGGTCACCATCTCTCGCGGTCCTGGAATGGTAGCAATCCATTTGGTACCTGGACAGGAGCTGATTTAATCGCTCCCATCGCCCCAGACATATATATTGTTATCATTAAATGTCAGAGGTAGTCATGTAATTCAATGCATACGTATGCGACCCACCAGTTGTTATTCAGTAGTTGACAGTAACGTTTGTTGTCGGATCTGCTCATGACAGTCTATTCGCTCGACGGCCTCCTTGTGTTTGGACTCCTGCTCATCTGCACGTGCGCCTACTTCAAGAAGGTCCCGCGTCTCAAGCAGTGGTTCCTGTCCGAGAAGAAGGGGGTCTGGGGAGTTTTCTATAAAGGTACTCGCGCAATATCACTGGTAGTAAGGTCCCTGCGGAATCTCGCATGCAGCGTAGCGGACTCCCTGGGGGCTACATTGTGGCTAGTAGAGGAGAGTGTAGTAACATTTATTTGTTTATTGTACTATGTTACCACTTTTATACTCCCTGCCTTACGCATGCAATAGGACGACCTTGGGTAAGTTGAGTTGGAATCGGTGGCGGAGGAGATTGGCGCACTGCGCTATAAACCCGACAAGTTGAGTTTGATTCCTTGCCACAGCTAACGTCTATGCACCAATTGTACACTTCAAAATGTATTTGAATTGTTAAATTGTTACGTAGCAATGTGAAGAAAACAAACCGAGTATAAATGTACAGTGTAGGTTTCCCTCACTTTATGCGGTAGATGCGTTCCAGGAAAAGGACTCGCAAAGCGAAACCACACGAGGCGGCTGCCTGCTGAGGAGCGTATACAGTACACACAAACCATGTCCCACGTCCGACCGCAGAGTCGCATATAAGTGCACTAAAACCACATGTCGCGAATTTTGGTAAGAAACAGGATAGCTGTGCATACGCACACCGTAGGATCTGTATAAAGCGAGGGAAACCTGAATATATTAAGGGCAATAAAGCGAGTGAATGTTCGTGTTCCACAATTAGTGGACTCGGATTGTGATTAACACTACCGAATCACTTCTGTGAATTGCACTTGCCACTTGTTAAGATGAACAGCTTAAAAGAGGTGGCCGAGTGGCTCAAAGGTTAGAAGCACTAAACTGACACCACTGAGATCCTCAGAATACAGGCATCTGCCTGTGATAAATTCCAGATTTTTACGTGTAATGAATTGGTGATCTCATCCCTCCTGTCACCGATGACGGCACTCAAAACCGATCCGAGTAAATTTGGTTCTGCGCTTAATTTGGCAAAAAATGTCAACTCTTTAGAATTAAAAATATTGCTTTGACTGTCATGCAACAGAGAGCACAGCATGTGGAAAAGTGCTGCCCTCTACTGTGTGAACCAGGTCAAATCAATGGATCTCAGAAATATCTTTGCTATATCCGCCTTTGTGGGCTCTAAAATCCACTCTGCGAGTGATCAAAGTGGACACTTCGTCTCATGACATAACCTCAGTAGCAAGGTCAGGATAACATTGGGGGATGAGTGACAAGAATGTTTTATTTCAAAGATGTCGAAAGCGACCAAGGCACTGGAAATAGGTGGCATTGCCATGCTGTTGCCCCTAATCCACAAACGTTGCCCTCTCCCCATGTTCTACGCCCACTCTTTCTTCCCTTCATTACTACCTCCACTCATTTTGCTTTTATGCGATCCACCTATACCCCCCCCCCATACCCTGTCCTCTGTCCTTTTCACCCCCCCCACACCAACAGCGGCAGTTATTGGATCGCGATTGCACATCCCTGTCGCCGTTTCCTGCATCATGATGGGATTTTACGTCATGTTCATCAAGTGAAGGCACGCGACCCCCCCCCCCTTCCCCCGGAGTGCTGCGTGATGACCGATAGTGGACACTGCGAAGAGGCAGCGTGGGTGTTAAATGAATGTCAATCCACAGCCAACCTGCTTTTGGCCGGCTCTCAATGAAACGCCGTCTTGTTGCTGGGGACTTGTACACGTTCAAACGCCGTTGGAGGCTTCAATGTCTGACCCTGTGCGAGTGATATTTTTTTGTAGTAAATGTATATGCCTTAGGGATGGTCTGGCAGAGTGTTTAGAATACAACAATTGTACAAAGATATAACTTTAGACTTTATTTTAAATTTGGGGCACCTGTTTTGGAGTATGATTTGTTATAATTACCTGATCACTTTAAGTTTTGACATTACATTCTCTCTTAATATTATAGCCCTTCAATTGCACATTCAGCTCTGCCTGTACAGGAATTTAAAAAAACTTTAGGTGAAACCTAAGTACATTTGTGCTGACATGTGCTGATTTTTATCTGCATATTACACTTATTTGTGCTAATTTGAAAAAAATCAAGACGTGACCTTTAAAATGATAAAGAGCCATGTGTATAACTTTTTTTGCGTGGATGGTGATTGCTCAGCTGATTTCAGATGACACATACATTGTTTTGGCATTTCCCCCCATCGGATAGCTTTGCAAGATACAACTTGACTGGAAAAAATATCTGATTCTAATGATCCAATTTAATGTTGCCAGTGTCGCAGTTTCATGGTGAGATGACTGCCATGCAGACCCACTGTTTTTACAAAGGAAGCACGGTACTGAAATAACACGATTATACAACATTGTGCACAAGGTGTCATAGGAACACCGGGCTATTTCTGGGGTGGAATACCCTGGTATGTCTGTGTTCTTAACCTGATGATATCCATGAAAAACAAATTAGCCTATTTACAAATTGTAAATTATTTGTATTGCTTTCTATATCATAGAAATTTTACATCAATATAAATGATAGGTAAATGAAACCCCACTGAAAACCACAAGCCAATTCCGGAGCGCACAATCCAATGCTACGGTAGTTTCTGCACATTACTGAACTCGGGCTGTCGAGCGCGTAATGTTTCTGCGCAAGCGTGGAGATGCAGTTAACAATTCGGCATCGCTTTGCTCGATTCAACTTTTCAAGTTCATAGCGGTGCCTCAACCCCCCCCCCCCCCCCCCACGACCTTCCATTGCATGTGGGACATAGAATATCTGTGCCCACGTTATAGTGAGAACATGCTGTATAATAGATGATTTCTTTTTAGTCCATGGGCCAGAGCAGAAATTGGTACCACCAAAGATGGAAATATACTCTTAGTCTTACCGATTTATTTAGATGATTAGTACAAGTTATTATTTGATAATGCACTCATTCCAGATGGTTATTACAGTTTAATGTTGGTGGCCACATAAAGACAGATCTATTAAAATGATGCCCACTTCAGGTGGTACCGACAAATTAAACATGGTGCTGGCTTGTGGACTACCAATGCTTCAGACAGAATTGCCAATTCTTTTGGGTTTAAGCTGGAGGGTTAAGCCATGAAGGTTGTTTTGTGGGCTCCGTAAAAAATGTAATTATTTCTCATAGCGTTTTTTAAGCACTTCAATGCATATTACGCCGTTACAAAAATAGGCAATGTAGTTTCACATGTCTCAATGGGTTTATTTAATCTGGTTAAATTAAATATACTACTACATGTGGGGGATGGTCAAACGGTTTTTTTCATTCACTACACATTGTTTCGGTACAAATGTTAAAGGTCTATGATAGCATCACCCGCAATGTGCCCAGTTTCATCGCAGCCTAGCAGGAGTGAACCCGGACTGTGCTTTGATGGGTAACCACAAGGTGTATTCTTCTTTCGTATGGCATGTAAGCAACAGTTTGTATAGATGTCATCGTTGAAGATGACCACCAGGCATAGATGGGTGCTGTGGACTGCTGCGGGGCTGCGTGGTGTTCAGCAAAGCGTTGCAGCAAACTCCTATTGTACTGCGCCATTCTCCTGCATCTAAGCTTCCTCCCTTCACAGGCCCGCACTGAGCAGCCTGGTGAAGTATAGTTGGAATGACGCCCATGACCATCGCAGGTTGTGGATGCCCTCATCCAGCAGCGGCTTCACAAAGGCTTCTCAGTGTACATAATTTACAGAGAAAGTGCATGTATTTTAAGGAAAAAATAACATAATTTATGAAAACCCCATTTTCTAATACTTTTTGACTACCCCCATTATTTTGCTGGTGGTGGTGGGGATTGTTCACAGTGCAGTGAACGTTGTAATATGATGTAAGTTTGCATTTATAATGTAATAAATATTCTGTGGGGATGAATACTGTGTCCTGTGTTCGCATTGGTTTAAATGGTCCACGGCTTTATGACAAAGCCCGGTTGTAACCTCTCGTCGTTTAATAGCCAGCTCCTGCGATGCACCAACCAATGTATATATTATAACGCTCGTATTTCCTCAGCCAGAGGGCAGCCGTTTCATCGGCAGCAGCGTGGACGGAGGGCCCCGATGTCACCGTTGGGCCCGATCAGGGCCCCCGCGGCGACAATGAACCTCGTTAAACCGGTTGACTGAAAGCAAAGTACCGAAACGTCGCGGTGAGATTGGGCTATTACAAAAAAATAAAATCAATTTAATTCTAATCGTGAATCAGACCGGGTCGCGGATCAATCCACTCAGAAACCTCGCAAAACGGAAGCGCCGTGGTGGTTTTATTTATTTTTTACCTTATTCCGTAAGCGAGTGGTGCGTGCGCGTGGGGTTTCTCTGCACCCCGCCCGTAAAATTTACTGACGAAAAAAATACTGTGACAAAATGGTCAAAACGGTAATGGGCTACTTCTACTCGCCATAAAATGAAATGCAATAAAGATTAAGCTCCATGTGATCCGGGCAGAAATTCGCAATCGGTCCGCCCGCGGTGTTTTATCTGCTGGAAAAGCATTCGCTTAAAAACGGGCCAAGTGCTGACAGACGTCAGTGTTGTTTCATTTGATGGAGTTAAGTTAGCGCCAAGGCGTACACCGTGAATGCTAAACAAGCCCTTTCAAGAGCAGTGCAATACATTCCGAGTTCATTGCTGACGTCTGTGCTGCCTGATAAGACTGCAGCTGTGGTTGCAGGCATGCAGGTAATGGAAATGGCTGTGAAGCATTCACTGGCATTATTTTATTGGCTGTGCATCCTGCAACAGACATCATGTCGGGGTGCGTCAATGTACAGCCAGTCGGAGCATGAAATGTGCGCGTGCTGTTAACGTGCGTGACAAAAATCATTACGCATGGTCAATCCACTGCTGGATGAAGGCCTGGCCGAAAGCCGTTCTGCGTTGTAACAATCTACCGAGCACCTGTACACGAACTGGATTTTTGTCGTTCCATCTCCACTGTGGAAGAGCCCCTCGGGCCGTGTTTTCTCTCTTGGCTGCCATTCCGTCGTTAGTCTCGACCACCGGCCGTTACCCCTCCCACCAACCTGTCCTGCCCAAGCCCCCTTTACCTTTTTAAACGGTCAAAATTATGTCTTTACCTTGCGTATGTTTTCTAATCCACGTGCTGCTCTTTCTGCCTCTCAATATGACTCCAAAGCATGCATCTCCCCCCCCCCTCCCCCATGCATATTTCCACACGTTTGGCCAGGAGGTGGCAGTACACGAGTGGATTTGTGAATCCGTAGGGTGGGGACCTTTGTAGATTTTCTCTGAGTTCTCTGGTTTTCACCGACGTGCTAAGCACTCGTGAACAGAATTGACCAAACATCCACGTGCAGGGTCCTGAAAAAATTAGGCTTGATGCTCGGTGCGGCTTTCCTGGATAAATAAATGACTTATTATGCATCCATTTGAGATGCCTTTTCAATATTTTGTCTCCAATTATTTTGCTATAGGCACCTTGTCGAAAGATTAAATATATCAATCGTGACCATTTGATGTGCATCCCCCTGTGGTTAGCAAACCCACGGCGTGAGATATCAGAGAACTGCTTCCGAGTTTACTTCTGATCAACACACCAGGGGGCGCACTTTCCCCATACACTGCTGTGAGACGATTCTTTTGCTGTAATCCCCAGCGCTGAAAGCATTACCGAATTTAGCGAAGAAACCAAATTGTGAGTCTGGTTCTCTGTGGATTTCCGTGGGTCTCTTTGTGAATCCGTTGGTCTCCGTGTGCCTGCGAGTCTCCTTCGTAAATCATTTGTTAACCGGGCTGAGATCATCAACTCTGTACACCCGATAACCCAGTTTCACACCAGGCGGATTCGAACCGCGGCTCTCTGCGCGGCGCTGGGCTTCAGTATCTCTGAGCCCTGAGCCTCCACCCATCCGCATTGACCCTGTTATCAGACAGTGACATCGCACGGATCATAAACGGAGCAAAGAGGATGGCAACGTCGGTGCGAGTCTCGCTGAACTCGCCACGGTGCGAACTGTTTGCAGCCGGAAGAGCTGCGTTGCTTCGCCATCGTCATTGTCTCCCTTAGTGACCGGCCAGCGACGTGGGTTCAGGGTCTGCCTTCAAAGTCGCCAACAAAGTGGTAGGTTGGTTATTACGTGTGCGATGAGTCACGTAAGTGGGCACAGACCGACAAGATGCCCTTCATAACAAGGCGACAGTCTATTTCAAGAACAAAACGAGCAGCTGCAATTTGCCAAAGCCATTGTGTAGAAAATATAAAAGATACGAATATTGAAATCTTCTCATATGCTCGTATATACACTATACGATATCGTTCTCGTATACGAACCACTGCTGTATTGTTACGTGGCTATGAAGTTGGGCCATTGCCCGAAACGCCGCCGCATTTGTTGACGGATGTGTTGAGGTTGTTATTGTTGTTTACGATGCTTGTGTACCACTACCGACGTCAGCAGCAGGATCGCCAGATACCACTGGATGGTAAGAATCACTGGGGAGCGTATGTGCCTGTAAGTCATCTGTATTCATAACTTGGGGGTGGACTGGTGGTGGCAGTGGTTCGCACACCGCGCGATGTAGCCACCCACCTGGGTTCGATCCCCGACCACGACTAACGTCAGTGGCGAGTTGTATCTACACTGTTGCTTGGCAACCCCCCCCTCCCCTGCCACCGCACAGACTTCACCAACCTGCACTGACCAGCGTGGTGAAGTATGGTCAAACAAGCCCCATGACCGACACGGCATAGGGAGGTTTTCATTCAGCAGTGGATTGACAAATCGATGTGCATTACGAACCAAATGTCTGTCGCCAGAATTGTATCGGTTAATCGATGATCTACCGTACTGTCTCAGTATCGATCGGGGAAAACGACCTTGTTGGTGTCTGCGGTGTAGACCGACAGCTTGAATGACTGGGGGGGGGGGGGGGGCGGAACGAATTCTAGACAATGAAGACAGCAGCGGATAAGGAGCGACCTCCAACGAGCAGAGGTTGAGTGCGAGTGATGGGAGGGTGGCCGTGTAGCTTCAGATCCGCGTTCTGTCTCTCCACGAATAAATACGAACATGGTTTAAGTCCATCGAACCGATTGGCTTTTGAAACCAGTATTGTTTTGATTTAAAGCTTTCGTGACTGCAGTAATTCATATTCTTAGTTTTTTCGGTAAAGTCACGTTGAAGAGAAACAACAAAATAACAAAATATATATAAAACAATAAAAAATTCTCACGACGTTTCGACCATAACTCAAACGGTCATCACACCTCAGGTGTCATCAGGTGTGATGACCGTTTGAGTTATGGTCGAAACGTCGTGAGAATTTTTTATTGTTTTATATATATTTTGTTATTTTGTTGTTTCTCTTCAACGTGACTTTACCGAAAAAACTAAGAATACCAGTATTGTTGTTTTGTTTGCGTTCTGACCACAAGCCTTGTGGTTAATGCAGACATGATTCCTTGTCAAAAGGTTTCGGTTTGGTGTTTTAACATCTTAACACCTGTTTTGTTGCCAGAAAAAAAGGGTAAACACCTATTATCAAATCTTGGTAATGGCAAAGGAGGTCCCATGATGAAACCAATATTAAATTTTGATTTAAAGCTTTCGTGACTGCAGTAATTCATATTCTTAGTTTTTTCGGTAAAGTCACGTTGAAGAGAAACAACAAAATATATTATTTTGTTGTTTCTCTTATATATTATTTTGTTGTTTCTCTTCAACGTGACTTTACCGAAAAAACTAAGAATATGAAACCAATATTGTCAAGGAGAATTTTGTTTAAGCAAGGCAACGCTGGACCGGTTTCGACTTCATGGGTCTCATTAGCAGCTTCGGGCTTGTGACGCAGATGCTGCTGGATTAGCATTTCTTGATTGGGAAGGGGCACTGCTGAGACGCGATTACACGTGGAACGTTTGGTCAACGTTGGCCCAACGTTTGGCATGTTTATTGGGTTTAATTGCTCTGGCCTACGCTCGAGTGTCTCGCCAAATTAGCTTCCAATACATGTGGTAATATTCGTTTGCGGCGTGGCCCGGCTCTCGCTTTGAACAATGTTTATAGGAGACTAATTAATCTCCCTCTCTCTCTCTCTCTGTGTCGCTTCCGCCGATTGCCCTGGCCCTGTTATTAACGCGTTAATTCCCCGCCTGCCCCCAAGACATCAAACTCGACACGAATCGGAACCCCGTGCACACGCGCGCGAGTTACAATGCGCGTGGGATTTTTTTACATCTTTCCGTGTGGCCGTGGACAACGAAACAGAGCTCGTAACGAGATGAACGTTTGGCTCGGCAGGCAGGATAATAATAATGTGTCACACGACTGAGGCCCGGCGTTCCTCGGGAAACATGGGTTCGAATCCGGGTGTCAGCAGCACGAAATGAAACCGTCCTTTCTCGACCGCAGCGCTTCGATGATGCGTGCTGGTCTCAGCCTTCTCGCCAATGTTAATCGACGGCTGTGTGACGGCTTCCTCTTGTCGTATCGGTCATGGGGGTCATTTGGCCATTCTCCGCCACGCAGGGTGGGTTGTTAATGAGCGACCACGATGTCTACGACGTGCGCCGTGGGCTGCTGCGGACCTACCATGGTAGCCGGCGGCACTGTAGCAGAATGCACCGTTGTACTCTACTGTGCCGCTGCGTCTATGCGTCCAGATACCACCAGCCCCTCACTCACCGGCGTGGTGAAGTATGGTCAAATAACACTCGCGATGGATAAGGCAAGGCGAGGCGCTCATCCGGAGGTGCATTGAAAAAAACATGTTTTACTAATTGTCTGCGTCTCGGGTGGTGGTGAGCTTAACGAAACATTCATATTTACGCGATATAACCCAAAAAAAACGTATATTATGGATAATATTGGTCACGAAAGCCCACGTGTTAAAATAACCCCTTGACCTGCACGGCGTAGAGAGGTCTGCGTTCAGCAGTGGATTGACCAAGGGCTTTAAGCTATTATGACCATAAAATAATGGCAATGGAGTACACTTAGCATTTATAATAATGGCAATGGAGTACACTTAGCAATAATCAGCTTTGCTGCCTGTGCGTTGGATGAAACGGACCGCGCTATTTATCGCTTCAAACGAGTATCCCACGTTCAAGCCCCGGTCGATAAAGCACCATCACGGGTAATCAATCATGGGCTCACGGTTACCGCTGGCCGTTAATGGGCGGCGTTGGAGTGAGCGCTGGGCAGTGAAGCGAAAACAACATCCACC